AGCAAAGCTTAAATGGAAGTTCGCCGGACACACCCTAAGGCAGAAAGATGAAAGATGGACTAAAACAATTATACATTGGAGACCATGGAATCACAAACGTAAAAGGGGAAGGCCACAAATACGATGGTCAGATGACCTGAAGAAACACGCCGGGTCAAAATGGACGCAAGTTGTCCAAGATAGAGAGGCATGTAAGAAGGAGGAGGAGGCCTATATCCAAGGATGGATGTTAAGGGCTGTATAGATAGTCCTTCCAGTTCTTTAACTTTGATTTCTCTTGAAGGTCTTTGATCTCTTTGCATTTCTCTTCAAAGTATTTTTCTTTTTTTTTTTTTTTGAAAAATTAAGGCAAATATCGGGCACAAATTTAATAATCAAATCTTGCCCAAGTAATTTCACCTTCTACAGCCTTATCAGGGGCATTTCATCAAATTTGGACTATCCAGCAAGCGCAGAATGTAATAAACATTAAATTAAACATAAATTGTACATAACACTGCATTAAAATAAGGACAAACAGTTTAAAATTAATATTGTTCTGAAGCTATTTTCTTGTGGCATTGTAAATTAATTACTATTAAACTGGGAATAAGCCACAATTAAAGATAAAATACGTTTATTGACGTTTCAATTTCCACTTCGGAAATCGTCCTCAAAATAGAAACAGTAAATTAAACAAATTTTGTTTTTTGTTACATAGTGAAAAATTCTTCTAATAATTTAATTTTATCTGACTCATTTATATTGACAATTCAGACATACATTATGCATTTTTAAAGCAGACGACTTTAAAATTATATTGCCAATATTGTTGACTTGCGCTCCTGGGACGACTTTACTTATAAGATAGTTCATTCGATTACATGAAATCAACTTTAACTTGAGAATATCCGTCAGAAAAAATGATAGCATTTAATTCGTCTTTAAAAAGACAAACACATGGTATGATGACAGTAAAATTCTCCTGTTAGTGATTCCATAGTAAATTATGAGGGAAAAACCAGGAAAAAAAAAACAAGAACAAGAAAGGACAAAGAATTGCATTTATAAAATACCTTGTGAATGCGATCAGTTTTATTTAGGTGAATCATCAAGGCCATTAAATGTTAGAATAAGTGAACATCAATCTTATATTAAAAATAGAGAATTTGATAGATCTCAAATATGTAAACACGCATGGAATAATGAACATAGGGTTCAATGGAATAATTCAAATGTAGTCCTAAAAGAAACGGATGGTAAAAAAAGAAAAAATCAAAGAAGCGGCTCTAATTATGCTAAATGAGGCCAATTGTGTCGCAAATTCCTCGGCAAAATGTAGTAGGATCTGGTTACCAATATTGAAGGAGGAAGTTATTAATAAGAGAATACCAGTATTAGTATGTCAGTAACATATAGAGGATACATCATTTATGTTTTTTAAATAACGTAACATATAAAATCAGAATTTTGATGTTTGTTGAAGGTAAACTAAATTCACGAACAAATACTTACAATGTCGGGATAGTATTATGAGGTTTTTTTCCTGATTTTCCCTCATAATTTACTATGGAATCACTAACAGTAGAATTTAACTGTCATCATATCATGTGTTTGTCTTTTAAAGACGAATTAAATGCTATGATTTTTTCTGACGGATATTCTCAAGTTAAAATTATTTAAATCTATTATTATTATGTTAATTATTTTATTCTACCCTCTACATTCTTGTCGGCAACCACAAGACTTGTGATTGCCGACAATGTGTGATTCCACAATGCCAGAAGATAAATCATTTACAGGCGAAATTTAGAGAAATTCTAATGCCTCAAATGTTATGTATTGATGAACAGATAGTGCCATTTAAAGGCATTAAACAATATATACCCAGCAAGCCCATCGGCCTTGGGTGGGCAGCATTTGGAAAACTGAGAGAAACTTTTAACTTTTGGGAAATTTTGAGCGTAAAATAGTCCGGAAAATATTTGGAGCTGTAAACGACCAAGGGCAGTGGCGCAGAAGATATAATTTTGAATTGTATCAGCTCTTTGATGAGCCAGATGTCATAACGTTCATTAAAACACAGCGACTTAGATGGGCTGGACACATAATACGAATGCCAGAAAATACCATTGCTAAATAACTAACCACAGGAACACCTGTAGGAAAAAGAAGCAAAGGCCGACCGCGAATTAGGTGGTTAGATGGAGTAGAAACCGACTTACGAATATTAAAAATCAGAAGATGGCAACATGTTGCCAAAAACCGAACAGAGGATTGTCGAGCCAAAGATGATGATGATGAACAGATAGTGCCATTAAAAGGCATTAAACGATATATACCCAGCAAACCCATCGGCCTTGGGTGAGCAGCATACCAAGAGAAAGGTATTTGATCGGTGCGTCCTCCCAGTCTTAACGTACGGTGCAGAAACACTTACCTTAACAAAAGCAACAGCTAACAAACTGAACGTCACTCAGAGAAGAATGGAGCGGTCCATGTTAGGAATAACTCTACGAGACAGAATAACCAACGAAGACATCAGGAGAAGAACCGGAGTGACTGACATCATCGAAAAGATAGCCAGACTAAAATGGAGATGGGCAGGACACATAGCCAGAATGACAGATGGGCGATGGACAAAGAGGTTATTGGAATGGAGGTCAAGGGAAGACAAGAGAAGCGTCGGTGGACCACCTACAAGATGGACTGACGATTTGAGAAGACTCAATAAAAACTGGATAAGAGCAGTGCAAGATAGACGGGGTTGGAAACACGAGGAAGAGGCCTATGTTCAGCAGTGGACTCTTGAGGCTGGATGATGATGATGACCCAGCAAGCCACGCAAATGGAGCTACAAATTATTTGCTCTTTGTGATGAAAAAGGAATTCTGGAATGATTTTTTTATATATTCCGAAAAAATCCAACCAGTAACTGGAGAACCAGATTTAGGATCTAGCTCCAATGTGGTACTGCAATTAGCCACTCATATTCCTGTAGGTGCAAATCATCTCTTATATTTTGATAATTGGTTTACCTCTCTAGCTCTGATGGTGTATTTGGCAAAAAAGAAAATTGATTGGAACTTTGGAACAGTAAGGGTAAATCGCTTATCGAGAGTTCCTCTAAACAAGGATAAAGATTTACTAAAAAAAGGTAAAGGATCCTTCCAAGAAGTCTCGACTCTAGTAGATAATATTGAAGTCAGAGCAGTAAAATGGGCTAATAATCAGGTAGTAAAATTTTCTATCAACTATCTATCAAAGTATCGGGTAGTAAACTTTCTATCAAATTTACGTCTGCAGAATCTACTGAAACATGCGAGCGATATGACAAAAAGACTAAACAGAATATTACAATTACCTGTCCAGCTAGTGTAAAAACCTATAACCAATTTATGCGTGGACTGGATCGAATGGATCCATTAATTGCTCTTTACAGAATTCATATTAGATCTAAAAAGTTCTATCACAAATTGTTTTTTCACTTTTTAGATGTTACTGTGGTAAACTCTTGGCTCATTTACAGAAAAGACTGTGAATCCTTACAGGTACCTAAAAGAAACATAGCTAATCTCCAAGAATTCAAAATGAGCATTGCATAGTCACTGCTATTGGAAGGGAAAAGAACCCAACAATCAAAAAGGGGTCGTTCATCAAAAACCAACACAGATGCAGAATTTTCGAAAAAGAAGTAGCTAGGAGCCTTTCGAAACCAAAGACTTTTGTGACGATTTCGTAACGTTTCAAAAAAACACCTAAAATTAAAAAAAAAACTTGTTTTTTTTAATCTGTAAATTAATAATTGCAAAATAAATAATGAGAAACAAAATTTTTTTTTATTAAATTAAAAATTCGGCGTTATAGGATTAATGGAACGGGAGAATTGTCATGTATTAAAAAAGGTGTGTCTGTCCAAAAGTTAAAGTCAACAGAGTTCTTAGCGTTTAATGGTATTCAGCAATAAACAAAAGTAAGAAAAAAGATCTTCGCGCCATGCCAGATTTCATTAACCAGGAAAATAGAGCATTTTTTACTTCTATTTTAGATTTTTAATAATATATTTTATACAGATTGAACGAAATAAATTCGGAACATACGAAATATTATGTATTTCGGCTTAATTCTACTGTAGGTGGTTGACCAACAAAAGGTTGTCAAATAAGTATATTATAAAAATCCAATACTTCAGCAAGCTGCTGGATTCTGAAATCATAAAAATTGAAAGCTACACATAAATCTACGATTTTATTATGCTGTCAAACCACTTATCGCTTCCTTAGACAAGCCCTTCTTTGAGCGATGTTGCCAACCTCATTCCTTAGATGTTTCTCAAATAAGGTGTTAACAAAAAAAAAATTATAGGAAAAAAGGAAATAACTACAAACCATTAAGTTTATTTTTGTTATTAGTCTGTTGTAATAGATTGGTCAATACAATGAAAAATATAGGCAAATATCCGATTTATTTAAAGATACGAAGAACACTCTATAACTCTCAAAAAGATCCGCAAATCGGATTATTACACGGCGATTGGCAACATTGTTACGCAAACAACATAGTTGAACGATATTTTATACAATGTCTATTCCCATTTTTGGGAATAGACATTTATTTAATAGGATTTCTTTTTGTCCAAGTTTTATATTGGTCCACTATTTCAAATGCAGTTCAAACAGACATATATTAAATTGTATGATCCGTTTTAAATTCGTTCAATCTGTATATTATTTCGGTTGAGTTAGATCATTTCCTTTTTTCTTTATGTATTGTGAATTGCTAAGTTTCTTCAGTATATTAACACCAAAAATTTGATATATATTATTTCCGATCCTATTAATAAAGCAGACTTTCCATAAACAATTATATGTTTGTTTTATTTTTTTGGGTTTCAAGTTTTCTTTGATTTCTGATAATTTTTAATTTTGACTCTTATATTATTTAGCTCAACCACTCTTCAATTACATATTCTTATAATTGTGTATTTTTATACTTATATTTTATACTTATACTTTTCTTACCGTGATCCTTGGTCTTGAGATGAATCGTCCCATTACTTGAAATAAGTCGTAGAATAGAAATGTACCGGTAACTACGAAGTATTTATCTAAAATTAAAACAAAACCAATTAAATGAAATACAAAAACAGCAAAGAAAATGATGACGATTTATCAACAAACTTGGGTAAATATGCACGGGTTCACCTACACTCATCACCAATTAACATAAATAGCCTCGCATATAATACAAACTCATCACCGCCATAAAACTAAGGATTTTAAAATAGACCCAGAGAGACTGGTAAACTCATCACTGGCCTACCTGCACCCCGTGGCAGGTACAGACCATAAACCCTTTGCAAACCGCTATAAACCGAATAAATTTAAAATAGATGATTAAAAATGTAAATGTAAATTAAAAATAATTCATTTGGGAATTTCACAAAATTCTATTGATAGCTACCTATAACTATGCGAAAAAAATTCTCTTTATTGGAAAAATGATAGTTATCAATTATTTAAAATTTCAATTGTGAAAAACTCTAAAATCGAATTTCGAATCGAAATTCGGTATTTTGAGAACGATTTCCGAAGTGGAAATTGAAACGTCAATAAACGTATCTTTATCTTTAATTGTGGCTTATTCCCAGTTAAATAGTAATTAATTTACAATGCCATAAGAAAATAGCTTCAGAGACATATATTTAAGCGGAGTAATACCAAGAACATGGCTGAAGTCGACTTTTATTGCTTTACCAAAGAAAACAAAATCCGTATCCTGCAGTGATTTTCGAACCATCAGCTTAATGAGTCATATTTTAAAATTATTTCTAAAAATCATACATCAAAGGATATATAGACTGCGAAGAAAAAATCAGCCGTACACAGTTTGGTTTTCGGAATGCAGTGGGTACTCTGGGTAGAGAGGCACTCTTTAGTATACAAGTGCTATTTCAACGATGTAGAGACGTGAACTGCGACATTTATGCGTGCTTCATTGACTACCATAAAGCGTTTGATACAGTAAAGCACGACAAGCTGATGGAGATATTAACCAATATTGGAATAAAAACTTGTAATTTAACAATTGTCAGCAATATGTACTGGAGTAAAACATCATCCATCCGAACAGAGGCAGGAGAATCCGACGATATCAAAATCAAACGTGGCGTCCGTCAGGGATGTATACTATCACCACTGCTGTTTAACATACTCTGAGGAAATCTTTCAAGAAGCAGTGGGTGATGTTGGAGCCGGAATTCGAATCAACGGAGAATCTATCAATAACATTAGATACGCGGACGACACGGTAGTATTCTCTGACAGTTTTGAAACCCTCCAGGAGTTAATGAACAGAATCACAGGGGTCAGTCAGAGATACGGACTTTCACTAAACACTAAGAAAACAAAATGCATGATGATCTCTAAGAAGGAACAGCAATTTGTACAAATCAGTGTAAACGGTCAACAAATAGAAAGAGTAAAAGCATACACCTACCTTGGTACGAACGTCAATGAAAATTGGGACCATTCCATAGAAATCAAATGTAGAATAGAGAAAGCAAGATCTGCATTTCAAAAAATGGCTAATTTATTCAAATGTCATGATTTATCAATGCCCATAAAAATCAGGTTACTACGATGTTACTTGTTGTTGTTGATCTTTCCTATACTGTTGTACGGAGTTGAGTCATGGACTCTCACAGACGCCACCTGCAAGAAAATTGAGGCTTTTGAAATGTGGCTTTATCGTCGCATCCTAAAGATATCGTATACCGACCACGTTACTAATGAGGGTCTTCTGTTGAGAATGAAAAAAGAAAAAGAGCTGTTAACCACAATAAAAACAGCCAAATTCGAATACCTCGGTCACATCATGAGGAACAGCGAAAGATATGGACTGCTTCAACTAATCTTGCAGGGAAAAGTAGAAGGAAAACGAAGACCAGGAAGGCGAAGGATTTCCTGGCTGAAAAATCTACGAACGTGGTTCAACACAACAACCACAAATCTTTTTAGAGTAGCAGTGTGCAAAGTGGAGATTGCCATGATGGTCGCCAACATCCGAAACAGACAGGCACTACAAGAAGAAGATATTCATTAGATCAGATGTTCATTAACAGGCGGCTTCAAAGTGTTTGGTGTCTTAGTTATATTGATCTACTAGCAATGTCTAACAATTGTTCGTATAGAGGAAATCTCTATTTAATAAAGATGTCTGTTAAAGAAGAATTTACTGTAATATAAAATACTTCAACTTACCACCCCAGGGGCTCAATCCTTTTCCCGTATACGATTCCGATACAACCAGATTTGTCAGGTTAGGATGGGTGAGACTCATAGATGTAAACGTTATTACAACCATCAACAATAATGCCCAAGTCTTTTTGAGTCCTATGGCGTAGTCTTTAAGTGTAAATTTCATCCGACCTTGCGTTTCTTTTACATCAAAATAATAAAATTGGACCACTGGAGAATATTTCATTGCGTATGATAAGACAACGCTCAAAAAAATGACGCACTGAAAGAAAAAAATATATTTTTATTTCAACTTTTATTGTATAGCTACAATACAGTATAGCTATAGTACAACAAACAGGATACAAGACACGATTTGCAATATCCAAGATAAATGTCAAATAGAAGTAGCATCTAAGCCTATAATTAATAACAAAAATCGAAATTGGCAGGATAGTTACGAGAAATGATCTAAATAAACGACTTACCGCCAAGTTGATCTGCTTATGAGAGCCATGGAACGATCGATGTTAGGCATTTCTCGTAGGGATCGGATCACGAACAAGGAAATAAGACGGAGAACAGCAGTGACAGATGCCATAGAAAGAATTATAACCCTTAAGTGGAACTGGGCGGGGCAAATAGCTAGAATGTCGGATAACAGATGGACACAGCGAATAATACAGTGGAGACCAAGACAAGAAGCACATCGAAGTAGAGGTCATGCACCAACAAGATGGTCTGCTGACATAAAACGGATCGACAAAGATTGGATGCAAACAGCACAAAACAGAAATACATGGAAAATACTGAGGGATACCTATGTCCAGCACTGGATAGATCCGGGTTAAATGATGATTATGATGATCTGCTTAACTTGGCTGGTACCCAAGTGAAGTAATACTTTGCGATATACATTTCATCAAGATTTCCAAAATTGAATTTTAATATTTAATATTTTAAATGTGGTTAATTAAGTTGTCGGAGAAGTTCAAAAGCAGTTAGGTTAGCCATACTAAGTCTCTCTGCATAAGAAGGTCTTCTTAGTCCCAAAGGAATTCGAGTGGCTTTTCTTTGGACGTTTTCCAACAAAGTTTCGTTTCGAACCAAATCAGGATAAAAGTTGGTCCAGCGTATTCAAGTATGGGTCTTACGTAAAGAGTTTTTACAGAATGATTGCATTAAAACTCTCGAAAAACATCTCCGAATAAGATACAGGCGGGAGTTCGCAAGTTTACAAATAGAGGTAATATGGTAGGACCAAGTTAGGCTGCTGTTTACGATAACACCAAGGTCGCTATATAAAAACACAGAATCTAATGGCTGCTCGTTAACAAAGTACGGCACAAGTGGGTTATTTTTACCAGTTCGAAGCACTACACATTTTTCCGCATTTTAGGGTAGTAACCACTGGGAACACCAAGTTAAAATAGAGTCCAAGTCCGTTTGGAGGGTTGGCTGGTTGGCAATCCGTAAAAAGCAGAGGTCCAAGGAAAAGAACCCTGAGGGACTCCACTTTTCACTAACCAGTCCTGTGAGAAAGATTCGCCAACTCTAACTTTGCAATGTCGATCTGTCAGGAAATCATCTATCCAACTAAGTAAAGTACCGCGAACTCCGAAATGTTCTAGCTTATGAGAAGTCTGCGCTTAGGTACACGGCCCAAGGCTTTAGAGAAATCTAGATAAACAATGTCGACCGGCTGCGAACTGTTAAGGGATGGCGTCAAGTCGTTAACACAATGTAGGAGATTGGTTAGAGTAGAGCGACCAAAGACAAATTCATGTTGTTGTGTTGGAATAACATGTTCCTGGAGAAGGAATTTTGTCATCTCCTGAGAAATAATGGCTTTAGTAACTTTGGCACCTACTGGCACCAAGCTAATCGGACGATAATTGCTGGGGTTGCGTTTGTTGCCTTTTTTAAAAATAGGGGTGATGGCTGCTAATTTCCAACTATGGGGTAAGGAGTTCTGGATGAAAGAAGTTTGCATAATTAACGTTAAGGGTATTGCAAGCGTGTCTGCGCACCTTTCTAACAGTTTTGGTATTTAAACCATCTAAACCGCTTCACAGGTGAAGCGGCTGTGCAAAGTTTAATTAAGTGTTGTTTGACGTGATCCACTGTGAATTTAATTTGCTGTAAGGATTCGCCGATACGATTACTGTTAATAGCAAGTTGATAGCCATCATTCGATTCTTTAGTAAAAACCTGTGAAAATGCTAAATAGAGAATTTCGGAAGATTCTTTGCCAGAAGAGCATAAAGTCTGGTTGGGTTTTTGAAGTAGAGGAATGTAGAATGTAGATGTGAAGGTAGAAAAAGGAAAATCTGCGGTGGCTTTGGAAATCACTAAGAAGCCTGGTGTGTTTAAATTTCTGCCATAGATGTCGTTTGTGATCAATTTGTTTAATTGCTGTTCGATTTATCCAGGGTTGTTTTTATAAATCTTATGGAAGGGTGTATTTGAAGAAATTTTATTGTGGACTTTATCGAGAAATGCAGTTCACATTAATGAGAGGTCGTTTAAGTCTGCCAAAAATAAATGCCAGTCGACTTGAGAGAGTTCAGTGCCAACTTCAGAAAAGTCGGTAGTAGCATATGCTACAATATTATTTTTGCGGGGCAGTATTTGATTGAACTGGATGTGAGCAGTTATAACTGAATGATTTAACTTTCCGATAGGAGATTTGACTTTTCGAGAGATGAAATCAGCTGTTCGTCATTAATAAGCACTAGATCTAAAGTAGAAGGTTGGTTATTATTCCTAAATCTATTGGTGCAGTAATGAGTTGTGTCAGGTTCGAATTTACTACAAAGCTTTTAAATAAATAATAAGTGTTTTCGGCGTCAGATAATGAAGTTATTGGCCATGTGATTTCTGGAAAATTAAAATCTCCAGAAATGATAAGATTATCAAGAGATGATAGTTCTTCAAGTGTTGTTAAGAAAACATTTTCGTGTGCAAGTAGTGTAACAGGTGGACGATATATATATACTAAATTAAGGCAAAAAGAATTTTTAGTAACAGATAAGTGAATTGCATCTATTACAATAATATCTAGTATCTTAATGTTAATATTATAAGTTGTGGTGATAATATTAGATAAATAAATGCATATAGCGCCACCCACACGATTTTCTCTGTCTTTACGATATATGGTATATCCATAGAGTAGTCAGAAATTGAGAGTTTTGATAATTTTTGTGAAACGATTATATATGTGTGAATTAAACATTATGGTGTTATGTCTCGTTGCTTGTGTAATAAATACCTCCTAGTACATAAAGCCTAATTAACTAACCGATAGAAAGACTTTCCAAAATCCGCAAGTAAAATGAAATTCCTGTAGTTGAGTATATACCATCAATCGCAAAAGTTTTTTTAAAACCTTTTATAAAAGGTATATAATTAAAAATTCCTTTCGAGCTACATCACATAACGTTTTTGAGCTAAAAAGTCCATCATCCGTGTTTTGTTAATATATGCACATGAGTAAATCCACTAAATACCTGGGTAAAAACCCTTTTACATGGCACAAAATTTAATATGTCTTACATTTTATTTAAAAATGTTGTGACGTTTAAGTGTACTTTCCAAAAGGTAAAGGATACTTGACAATTTATATATTGCAATAAAGTGTAGTTCAAATATTGAAAGTTTATTGATCTAGATTGATCTAGATCATTGATAAGGAAGAGAAAGAAAACTGCAAGGATCCCTTATATTCTACTATAAAAACTGACCATGTAAAACTGTGCCATATTATATCATTTACGTAATTACATCCTTAAATTTTTTTTGAGCACTTATTTATCATATATACTATCAATTATCAATTTTCACTTACCGTCCCACATGAAAAATATATTAGCGCAACTGTGATAGAGTTATCCGATACAGATAGGCAGATGATCTGGAGGGAAGAACCAAATAAGCCACCACATGCGCCACCAAACAGATTAACTATCATATAAAAAGGGGGAAATCGGGAAAAGTATCCATTGGAGCTCATCCCAAAAGACGCGGTAATAGCTAAAATATAAACAAAACAAACATTTACTACTTTTAAACTGTTATATTTCGTGGTAATTAACTACAGATTTGATTTTATTTGATGTTTCGGTTTAGAGATGGAAAATTGTTTTCAAACTGCAAATTTTTAAAAAAGTAAACCATTGATTTCTTTAATATAAATACATTTTTTCGTTAATACATATTTTACATTCACACTTTTCTTATTTTATTAAACTCTTATGCCCATTTCTTCTGTATCTTCTATAGATTTATCAGTCTACCATTTTTCCTGAGCTACCCGTATTTTTGTTTTAATTTTCTGTTTGCGGTTTTATATGTCTTGGCATTCATATTTTTACGTAATCTTCTTTTGTCATACAAAAACAGTAAATCAAATAGTAGAAAGTATCATAAAAACCAGACTCCAAACAGAGACAGATTAACTCGAGACAATTCCTGAAGCACAATTTGGTTTCATAGCACAGCTGTCTAGCGAGATTTAAGTACTCCGATTAACTGAATACGTTGCAGCTGGATTCAACGATAGACAATACACAGGAGCTGCCTTTCTAGTTGTAACCAAAACCTTTGACAGATTATGGTATAAAGGACTAATAAATAAAATTCTTCATATAAACGTATTTTTTTAAAAGGTAAAGATTTAACCCAGACTAATAGTATAAGACTGACATGTTACAATGGACAACGCTTATACCACATGTGAACGCAACAATCCAAAAGACAGAAGCAGCAAGAGGCCTCACAGGATATAAAAGCAAATTAAGAACAAAAACAGAGATCAAAGTAATGAATAGCATCATATATGCAAAACAAATATAAAGAAGATACAAGCAGCTTGTTAAAGACCTGAAGCAAGTAACAGTACTGGAGATAATAAAGGAAAAAAACAGGCAAAAATTCGCTGCGTTTGAAATCATCCAAACCAGATCCTGCGATAGTGAATAAGGAATGATGTTTTCCACAGATGAAAATACAGAACACCAAAGTAACAAATAATCTTCTTCTTCTGGTAGCAGTACAACCCGGGGTGGGTCTTGGCTGACTGCACAACCTGCTTCCATCTCGAACGGTCGTCCATGATGTTTAAGTCAGTGGGTAGCCCCATTGTTCTCAAATCTGACCATATATTATCTCTCCATCACATTCGTGGACGTCCTAAGGGCCTTCTCCCTGTCGGTACTTCTTCCCAGATTAACTTGGTAAGGCGGTTATTAGGGAGCCTATGAACATAGCCAGCCCATCTTAGACGTTGGGATTTAATCTCTTGGACTACGTCGCTAGCACTATACATTTGTTTGACCTCGGCATTTGTTCTCATTCGGTATTGGTTAGTATTCGGATCGTGATAGGGACCGAAGATCTTTTTGAGGATTTTTCTCTCAAAGCATTTGAGTTTACTTTCCATTGTTTTTGTCAGCGTCCACGTCTCAGACCCATACATGAGCACCGGTCTAATTACTGTTTTATATATCCTGATTTTTGATGTTCGTGTTAGGCTCTTGGATTTAATAGTGTTGTGGAGGCTATACATACATCTGTTTGCTGCCTGAATTCTCCCTTTTATCTCTTCCGTGATATCGTTATCTGTGGTGATAGTCGCTCCGAGATATTTAAAACTCTCCACTCTTTCAAAGTTATAGGGGTCTATTGTTACATTTTGTCCTATTCTATCTCGTCTCTTTTGTCTGTTGATGCACATATATTTGGTTTTCTTTTCATTGACCCTTAGACCGGTATTTTTTGCCTCTCTCTCTAATTTATTGAAGGTTTCTTTTACATTGGTGACGGTATTTCCTACAATGTCAATGTCATCCGCGTATGCTAGTAGTAATTTTGGTCTATTTACTGTCAGTAGTTCTGTTCTAATTTGTGCGATTCTTACTACTTTTTCCAGGATTACATTAAAAAAAAGAGGTGACAGCACGTCTCCTTGTTTCAGTCCACTGTTTATTTCAAACGACTCTGAGAGCTTGTTACCTATCCGCACTCTAGATCTACAGCCATTTACACAAACTTTAACGAGCTGGATAAGTTTTTTTGGAACTGAAATTTCTGCCATTGCATTCCACATCTGATCCCTTTTAATGCTGTCGTATGCTTGTCGGAAATCTATGAAGAGATTATGAATGGTTCTATTGAATTCCCATCCTTTTTCAAGCAGCTGCCTGAGAGTAAAAATCTGATCTATGGTTATATCCATTATGGATCCATTAACAAATAATAGCAAATGCTTAAACAAATAATAAGATGACAATATAAGGTTGCCCTAAATAAATAAGGCACCCTCTCAAGAAATATATAAAAAATAAACAAAAAAGAAGACTTCGGTCAATCAAACAAATTCAGAAAAGCTAACACAACGGCGGAAGCCACAAAAAAATATTACTATAAAAATAACAAAAACGGGACAAAGGGGCCCAAGCTCTCGAGCACAAATCGCCTTCCTTTACCTAAGTTTAGAGCAGGGACATGGCGCCTGGCAAGCAAAATTTATAGAGCCTTACGCTTTACAGCCTAACTAGGAGAAGTATTTCATGTGGAAGTCCTTGTATCCAGGACTTACATCTTCTTATTCTAGTGCCGTCTCCACTAATGAAGGTTTTCTATAGCCATTGGAAATTCATCTCTATCTTCTGCTGCTCTTAATGGTCTGTGTGTTTAACCCGTCCAGTCGCGAATGTTTTGCAGCTAGAATATTTGTCGTCTTCCAAGACCCCTTTTTCCTTCGATTTTTCCCTTCATAATCAGCTGCAACAACTCGTTCTTATTATTTCTAAGTATGTGCCATAAATATAATGTCTTTCACCTTTTAATGGTGGTCAGAAGTTCTCTGTCTCTTCCCATTCTGTTTAACAGCATTTCGTTCGTAATATGATCAGTCCATGGTATCTTTAAAATTTTCCTAAAAGGCCAAATCTCAAAAGATTTCAGTTTTCTCATTAAGTCAACATTAACAGTTCAGGATTCGACACCATAAAGAAGAATAGAGTGGATATAACATTTTACCATCCGATATCAGATTTGCAGATTGAGTCTTTGGTTACTCAGAAATTTCCTTATTTTCAAAAATTCTGCTCTTGATTGCTCTATTCTTGAGCAAATTTCTGATTTCGAATTCAGATATTCCGTAATCCAGACTCCTAAGTATTTCATTTTGTCCACTTACTCAATATATTCATTTTTTTGTTGGTCTCGACATTTTTGGACAAGAGTTGTGAAACTATACAGAGCTTCCACTGTTCCGAAGCCGTTACGAAAGCCAAACTGTCATATCCGCTTACATACCCGACAAGCATTTTGCCAATTTCTAGCGTCTATAGCTCAATAACGTGCTATCAGTGAAAGGGGGATAGTCTGAAACATTGGGGCGAGCTGTGGTGGTTTCTGATCAATTCGGACCAATTTTCTATACCCCAATAAATTTTAACGCCTATAAATGTAATTTTCTAAGGACTGGATTGGTTTCTATTAATATCTTGCTAGTTTCAAGCTACATTTGACGAGTACCATAGTCTACGAGTTAGTATTTGGAAATGGGTATTTGTCACTACCTTGTCATATTCCTTACAAAATTCTGTCAATAGTTCTATCCTTTCTCGTTCCTACACGCCAGTCTGAACTCATGGAACTTACCCTTTTCTAGTTTAGCCTTAAAATATTCCAATATTCTCGTAAGGACCTTGCTGTTGCTAATATATGTGAAATATACGTGTGTAGGTTAGGTTCTCATTCTTTTTGTCTTTCGATAGTTTGTTTTAATTTATAAAATATGCAAAAACATTTATTTTCTCATATGGTTTTCTATCAATATTGCAGCATTGAAAAACTTTTTAAACAATGCTTGCAGTTACTTATAATAACTTATATATTATTAAGTCAGACAAACTTGATCTAGAACTGGATTTATAATGTGAATAATATATATAATAATATTACCTGCAAGAAGTCCCATCACTAGTAAAGCCACACCAAAAAATAAGTTCTGCCCTAAAAAATAAAACTGATTATATGTTTTATAAACTAAATATTATATGTTTAATAAAATAAGGTCATTTTTAAGTCAATCCATTCAAAAAAAGTTTCAAAAAATATTTCTAATTTAGAATGCTATTCCTCACTCACTTCTCACTTGCTGATGCGGTTACATTGTCCGTTTCTTCTATAAACAGAAAGTAAATCAATATATACTCAAAACGTCGAAGTTTGTAAAACTGTTACAGCAGTTTTATTGAGATCTTCACAAAAATTTTTGGATCTGGACAAATCTAAAGTCATATATCATAATTAGAATTAACCACTTGGTCAGCAAAGTTATCTAATTCCTTATCTGTATTTTTCAGGAATCTCGTGTTGTTCTGATTCGGCATTCGTACCTTCTATGAAACTCTAGAACAGATGTATGTGTATATAAACTACTTAGGTGTTTAAGAAAAGGTGTCCTGAGAAAAAATTGGTGGCAAATTAGTTTTGCTAGCTGTTAAAAAATCAAGGTATCAAAGATAATGTAGAACAATTTTACAGAAGTGATTTTAGGGGGAAGAATGGAGGAGGTTTGGAGTTCCAAAGTTGAAATTGTCAATCAGATACAGCGTATTCGAATCAGTTTTAGAGATTTAGTGGCATTTCACGTACTAAAAATACAAAATTCAACTTTTAAAATAGCGACATGGAATGTTAGAAGCATGTATGAGCCTGACAAACTAAGGAACATAGAACAAGAAATGATGCGACTTAAGATTGACATATAATAAGTGACACAAAATGGCTCGACTAAGTACAAGCAATGATTGACTTTTCTACTCTAGTAGTACCGACAGCCAACATTGGTATGGAGTAGCAATTAATGTCAGTAAAAAAGTTGCAAAATCAGTTGTAGGCTTTATACCAATATCCGAAAGAATTATGCTAATACAAATGATGACAACACATGGAAAATTAAATCTTATTCAGATTTATGCGCCAACCGTCGATAAAACAGAGAAAAAAATTGAAAAAATTTACGATGACCTTTAAAAAAACCCTACAAAATACAACATCTAGAGATATAACAGTAGTCGTGGGTGATTTTAACGCCAAAGTTGGAGAAGGAAGATGTGAATCTACTGTAGGACCATATGGAATCGGTGTTGGAAATGATAGAGGAGAACGCTTTATAGAATTCTGCCTAGAACATAATCTTGCGGTAATAAATACTTTCTTCAAACTGACTAAACGACGCCTTTATATTTGGAAATCGCCAGCTGACAAGATCGATAAAATCGTTAGAAATCAAATTGGCTATATTTTAATGAACCACAGATACCGAAACGCAATACAATCGGTGAAAGCGTACTCAGGTGCAGACGTGGCGTCGGACCACAATCCTCTTTAGCAAAATTCCAACTTCACTTAAATAAGATACAAAAAGCTACAAAAGTGATAAACTAAACATACAAAAATTAAAATCATAAGACGACAAGGAAAAACTGAAACAAGAAATTAATGTAAAGCTAGAATCCACGCCGGAATCAATTGAAGGTGGCGTAGAACAACAGTGGCAATTTACATTTTGTGGCAGTTTGTATTTAGAGAACAATTTCCGAAGTGGAAATTGAAACGTCAATAAACGTTTTTTTACCTTTAATTGAGGCTTATTCCCAGTAAAATAGTAATTAATTTAAAATCCCACAAGAAAATAGCTTCAGAACAATATTAAGAAACCGTTATGGGCCCAGCGTTATTCAAAATTTTCGGAGATTGGAAACAGTGGCAATTGTTTAAAAATGCAATTATCGAACGAAGTCGCAGAGAATTCACAACAACCAGATGCAAGAAAGGAGATTGGATGACAGAAGAAATCTTGGAAATGATGAAGGACAGAAGAAAGCAAAAGAATATCAACATAACTCAGTATCAACAGCTGCATAATCAAATAAGTAGGAAAATAAGAGAAGCTAAACAGACTTATTTCACTGAAAAATGCCAAGAAATAGAAGACTTACACAACAAATATGATAACTTTAATCTTCATAAGAAAGTTAAAGAATTAGCTGGGGTAGCAAAACAAAAAACCTCAAGCCTACTATTGAACAAACAAGGAAACATTTTAGTGGAGACGGAACAAAAATTAGTAGATGGAAAGAATATATAAAGAAACTATTCCATGACCAGAGACATGAAAATATATATATGAAGATAATCAGAGTAAAGACGAGCGACCCGAAATAACAAAGTCAGAAGTTATGCATGCAGTAAAGTCCATGAAAAATAATAAAGCTGTTGGTCCAGATGAAATACCAATTGAATTGCTAAAACTGGTCAATGAAAAAAACATAGATCTTTTAGTCCAACTACTAAACACAATCTCAGGAATCATTCCACGTGAAATGCTGACATCAACATTTATTTGTCTACTAAAGAAAGTAAGTGGCATTTTCATTCATGTCGGCTGGAGTGATAAATTAAAAAAAAATAAGAAATACAGCAATTATTATAAATGATTTTCCGTAATGCATTCAAGTATATTTTATAATATTTATAATAAAAAATACTATCTAGTGTTTTAATAATCTATTCTATTTAATGGGATAAGATAACCATATTTTTAAGATGTTTATCTATTATACGTTTTACTGCATAATTATTATAGTCTTTATAAGACTGGAATTTTCTAAACTTTTGTCTTTATTATATTATAAAGTCCCGAGATTCCTAAAAGAAACAGGACTTCTACATTATGTTTCTTCATAGCGAACATCCTTGAGCATTCCAATCCAGCGCATTCCTGGTAATGTCATATGGGCGTCTACGGAGTATATGGCCCAACTATCTCCATTTTCTTTCGCCTCATTAGCTTTGTTTAGGACAAAATATACGAAGAATTTTTCGTAAAGTTCTATTGATGAAAACTTGTAATTGCTATATTATGGGTACCGATATTTTCACAATCATATAGTAACATCATTAAATAGTACTATTGTAATAAGAAACTTAATTTAGAAAAATACTCACAAGAGTCCGTATCCGCTTTGACCAAGATCGTGAAAATTATAAACAACACAAAGCTAAGTCCAGTGCTGATCAAAAACCTTAGTCTCATTTCTACCCTGTGTGCAAATAATACGGTGCATGTGCCTGCTATTACACTCATCACAGAAGTTACTACGGTATTGACAGATGCAAACATGGTCTGTAAATCTGTTTTGTCGTTGGAATCATACGTTGGCTTTGATGTGTCACGGAATTTGTACATCCAGTACTAAAAGAGAACAAAAAAGTGCTTAAAAATATAAATATAAAACAATAGTATTTGAATTCATTATAAAATTACGCTTTTTATAAGTCGTAAAACCATTTCTACAATCTATATTGAGTTAACCATTTAAACCATTTAACCATTTTAACCATTTTTTTATTTAAACATAGAGAACTCACATCAACCACCAAGGGTTATTAGTGGAGGGACATACACAGTAGTACAGTTTGATAAATTGTTCGTTTTAAAAAGAGATTTTGAATATTTGGGTAATAAAAGTGAGGATGTCAATAATTTCGGATATTTCATTGATGTAGTCTTTTGCTATAAGTTCAGGGTTTTTAGAGTTAGTGGCATTTTCTAAACATAGGCATATTTCTGAATAACCTATAGGAAAGGGCGGATTTTTTTGTTCTATTAAGTTTTTAATAGAGTCGAGGACAGCAAATGTGTTTTCAGTCGACTTGGCTCTTTTTTTTTGGTTTAGATGTTTTGGGAACAGAGAAGACGTCTTGTGATGTGGGAATATCAGAAACATCTGGAGAATTAAATGATTGTCTTTTGGCCTTATCTTTATTTAAAGGTAGGTTATCGTTGCTAGTTAGAGATAGGGTAGGAGCCGGAGGGTTATACGAAATGTTTACTTCAGAAAGAGTTTTATTGGTGGTTTCAGTTAGCTGTATATTGATTTGGTTATTTGAATTAGGATTTTCAGGTAGTTCTGTTTCCATTTGTTCACTGGGTGAATCCGTTTTATAAATGCAATCAACTTCTCGGGGTCCTATTGTTCGACATTTATAATAATTAAATTCATATATAGAAATGTATATTCGATGTGTTGTGGAATCAAAAGAAATGTAGAAAGAGTCTGTTATAGATAAGTTTTCTAATGGATTGATGTAGATTTGCCGCAGAAAACTCAGAACATGGTTATATTCTGTCTCAGACATACCAACTCGAAGAAATGTCATTTTTGATATGGCTATCATTTCCATTTTCTTGAGTTCATCTTCTATAGCTTCGTTTGGAATGGTTAAACAAACATTCGAGAGGGCTAATCTTAATGCTGGAATTATTAATCTGCGGACTTCTACTTGCACGTTGCTAATTTTACCGTGTTTATGTGAATCAATGAGTTGGTCTACTATTCTTTTAGAAGATAAATAAATGCAAATGTGGTTATTTGCAATTTTTGAGGCAAAAACTATGTTCTTTGGAAGGACAAGTGATCCAATGGCAACTATATAATCATGAATTTTAATTCCTTTTATGGCAGATAGTACAATAGCTTGGTCTTTTGCCGGATATTTGAATGTAGTTAGTATGTTTGAGTATGTAGACGGTGTGGTGTTTTGTGAAGGATTATTTTCCTTTGGATTCATTTTTGGTTAATAATTTTTGTCTTTAAATTTATTTATCATAGTCAATCTTTTACCGTGCCAGTCCGGCTCAGTATTATCAGCAGACTTTTAAATAAAAGTTGCTCTGGGAACCGGTCGGAGCGGCCTTTGTAATAATTTTGTTAACTTTCAAAATATGTTGTAGTATGTATTATTGAAAATATTAATTATACTCACTGCAATTTTAAGCATCGATGAAAAGCACTGTAGATTTTCTAGTAAACACTTTTAACTATTTTTGTTCACTTTAATTTATTAGATTTAAACAATATTATCGGAGCTAACCTAATTATTTGTTAAGCCAAATTGTTTTTTTTGTATTGGATATTTTTTTATTTGTATACGCAAAGAGGTATTACTCGTCAAACATAGCTTGATATTTGGCGACATTGCCTTTCGCGTAGAAAACTAAGCAAAAACGCATTCCGAAGAAAAGAGCTGAATAATGCGTTATCTTTTCTGGCCTCTTTGATATACTTTGTGCAACAAGTTTACAGAATGTGAGTTTAATTTGTAAAGAAACCTCAACAAGCTCTTTTAACGGAGCAAAAGAAAAAACCATATTTTTGTCGTAAACTGTACTAGTACCTTGTTTTCAGCGATAACGAAATAATAATGATGAATTTGGTTGCTGTCCACTGCTCATTGACGGTGGACCGTAATATCAAAATGACCAAGTTTCAAGCTATTCGAGAGTGGATTGATATAAAACTAGTCTTTGATAGAAAAAACAAGTTTTTTGGTATTAAATAGATTTTCAAAATAGGCCGAAGTTTCAGCGAACGACTTCATCGTTTGTTGCGAAACGGTGTCCTCCCAGCCATTTTTTTAGATTTGGAAACAGAAAAAAATCGCTGGTGGCAAGATCTATGGAATTCGGTGGGTGTTCAATCAATCATAGTGTAATTTTGGCCATGGCGACGGTCGATTAGTGAGACAGTGTATTGTCTTGTTGAAAGAGCCCTTTTTTGCGTTCCAAACGGGGGGGTTTTCGACGCAATTCGGCATCGAATAGATTCAATCATGCTGCATAGTACTCACCATTGATTGTTTTTCCTTTTTCCAAGTAGACGATGTGGATGATGCCCTTTGCATCCCAGATAACAGTCGCCATCACTTTGCCGGACGAATGTGCACTCTTTGCCTTCTTTGCGTTTGCGCCACTGTTTTGACTGTTCTTTGATTTCCGGTATTTAATAATGGACCCAGCTTTTATCAACGGTGATAAATCGGCAAAATAAATCCATCGGATGCGCCGTATCATCATCAAAAGCTTCTCCGAGGTGGTCACACGTTTTATGATTTGATCGATTGTCAGCAAACGTGGCACCCATCGCGCAGTTAGCTTTTTCATGTCCAAATGATGGTGAATGATGTTGTGTACGCGTTCGTAGGAAATGTTTAGAACCTCTATTAACTCGCGAAGCTGAATTCGACGATCTGCCATAATCATGTCATCGACTTTGTTGATCATTTCCGGCGTAGTGACTTTATTTGGCCTCCCAGGATGCTCAGCATCAAAAACACTCGTACGACCACGAACAAATTCAGCTTTTCAAAATTTTACTGTTTGCTAACGAAGGTGCAACCTTACCATAAACTTCGTCCAGGTCGGCTTTGATTTGCACATTCGTTTTACCCTTTTTGTGGAGGAACTTAATCACCGAACGATACTCGACTTCTCAATTTCTCCGAAAACACAAAATTTGCTTGCTTTTGACGGATGTCACAACCAAATTAATTGTTATTAAACTTAAAATTTTGACAGACGTTATGTCATGAATGGCAAATGTCAACACCGAAACCAATTCGGTATCAAGCAGCGCCATCTATCAAAGGCTAGTTTAATATCAATGTATCCTCGTATTTGACAAGAAGTATATACTACATTAAGCATACTGTGCCCGAAAATAGGTTCTTAAATTAACAAATTGTTTATCCAATTATATACAATTATATACAATTCTAAAACTTTTTATTATGTAATTCATCCTTTACTCTTTTTTTCTTAACAAACTAATCAATTTTAGGAATTTATTTAACCTCTATATTGCTTAACGATAGTCTATATCAGTTTCCAGAAGCGTGGATATGCACTCGAATAATGAATATCATCTAATTATTTCTAATTACACCTTATCGATATTAAAATTATGGGAAAAATTGATGAGATTAGATAATAAATTCATCTAGTACCTCCAAGAGCATAGCATATATTATGGTGTTTTTTTTTTACTTGGAATTAAAATTAATTATATAAATATTATTATATATTAAATAATAAGAGATTGAAATACTTGAAAAATCATCAAGAAACGAAGTTTGAAAATAAAGAAACTTGGTGGTAGTCAAACAAAAATAAAATTCAGTTTGTTTCTATCGTGGATGTTATGTAGCTAAAAAATTACAAACAATAAGAAACGAGAGAACAAACAAAGACAATGTTATAAAACCGCTCCATAGAGTTATTGACAGCAAAAAACTAAAAGCGTCAGAGGTTAGTGAAAACAGAAGTTACAGCGATGTAACAAAGAATGCAAGGAGACATGCATCATCGGAACAAGAAAAAGAAACTGATATTACATTAAAAATTATATTGGAAAAGCTCACCAAGATTGATGACAAAATAACTCAAATTGATATCAGAGTAACTCGACTAGAGCATAGCGCTAAAGGAGCTATTCCGAAAGTCAGAAATGGCTAAAGACCTCCGAATAATGGCGTGGAACGCAAATGGACTGTTACAACATCAGATCGAGTTGCAAACAGTACTAGATATTGAGAAAATTGATCTGTATCTCGTTTCTGAAACACACTTCACTAAACAGTCGTATGTAAAATTTAGGGGGTACAGAAATACCCACACACATACCACACTACTAGTGTAGTAGTGACAGTGCCGTGAATAGTGAACAGTGTAGTAGTGTCTGGGGGCTCGAGAGACTGAGACCTCGGAAGCCCCAAGGAAGACATCAGAGAGAATGCCGAAAGCTTGGCAAAATAGACATCGACGCGGTTCAACCCGGAAGACTGGTGAGTTTGATATTAATTTTAGTTAATAATATTAATCTTAGCTCTAGGTTTCATTGTACTAACCGCGGAAATCTTTCCAAACACACACACATATATATATATATATATATATATATATATATATATATATTTAAAAAAGTTAAAAATACTCTACAACTATATTATACAAGGGTTTGATTGTATTGAAATATTGTCTATACTTACATCATTAGCTTGAAGGAAAAAAGTCATTGGTATTATACTAACAACACCGCTGATAAAAGCTTGTATGGTTGCTATATAAAATTTGTCTTTTGGAGCAGGCAAATCTCTTCTGTTCAATGACTGGAGATCATGTATTCCAAAGACTTTGTCCGAAAGAAGCGAAGCTGCAAGATAAAACAATTTGTTATTTCCTTAAATATTTTTATACACCTAGTTATATAAATATTGATATTTAATAGGTAATAAGTTGATTAATCTTAGTCAAGTGGCTCTTATAGAGCCAGTGCGTAGATGTTTATCTGCCATGTATTCATACATAACTGTCTCCACATTCATATACCTCGCTTTATATCTGAACTTCTTCACTCTATCCTTAAATTAATTCTAATATATCCATGTATCAGCTTCTATTATATATCCCAAATAGAATTTGAATAGGTTGAACTTTTCACCTCTAAAACACAGCAACTTAGATTGAATGCCACAAAATACGATTGCTAAAAAGCTAACCACAGGAACACCTGTAGGAAGAAGTAGCAAAGGCCGACCGCAAATTAGGTGGTTAGATGGAGTAGAAACCGACTTACGAATATTAAAAATCAGAAGATGGCAACATGTTGCCAAAAACCGAACAGAATGGCGACGAATCTTAGAGCAGGCCAAGATCCACAGAGGATTGTCGAGCCAAAGATGATGATGATGAGATGAGTTTCTGTTTTAAAAGTTATGTTAACAATCGCCATATCTAATGTTGTTGCTAATTACAGTATATCAACTCAAACTTCATTTTTAGTTCCATATCCTAGTCCTCCACGTATTGCTTCATATCCTGTCTTGTGTTGGCCTATATATGCATTAAAATCACTACCTGTCATGACTTACTTCTCCGATGGAATATAATTAATTTTGTTTCCTGATTGATCATAGAATGCTTTTCTTTCATTCTCATCCAGTCCTGTTTTTTTGAAGAATACGCATATAACAGTCAATACTTACTGTATTAATTTTAAATTTTACTGACATTATTCTATCACTAGTTCCAACATCTTTTACTATGTTATCTGTCATTTCATTATCAGCAATTATACTAGTGGCGACTCCATTCCTAGTGTTACTTTTCCCTACATATCATAATTTGTATCCTTCGCCTAGTTCTTTTGTTTTTGGTCCTTTCCACCTAGTCTCTTGATTGCAATTAATTTGTACTTTTCTTTTTTAGCGAATTTACTAACTTCACACTCTTATCTGTAAGACTATACCTTGACTTAAAGTGACTAGTCTGTACAAGGGAGATATGCAATGCTAACCTTAGGGAATTTCGCCCAGACGTTGCCAGTTTTATTCAGTGAGCGATGGCGTTCTCTATTGTTTATCTTTCAAAATAAACAGAATAAACCAGGTGGTATTCGTTCCGTACCGGTACTCCCATGCTTTCGCATTTTCTTTAACATGTACTCAAGGCTTTCTCTAAGTATATTTTGAATAGGGTTGGAGCTGTGGAGCAACCCTGCAGCAGCCTTTTTGTTGTGACGAAGTCACCTATCATTTTTTTAATGGATACTTTATTTTCTTTATACAGAGATCATGTAGCTTTTTTGAGTTCCGTCTGTATTTCTAATTTGTATGCCTCCCATAGTTCTGACCTTGGTACAGAGTCATACGTCTTTCTCAGGTCCATAAATGCCAAATGTATATCTCTATTTTTTACTTTTTTCTTTTCCAATAGTTCTTACAGTGTGTATATGTGGTCTATGCATGATCTTCATGTCGTTAAGCCTGCCTGATCCTCCTCGATTTTGCCTTTTATCACTTGCTCTAGCTTTTTGTTACTATCTACATTTAGATTTTGGTATTGCACGTAGTTGACGGATTTCTTTTTGCATACCAAAACGTATTGTCGTTTTTTCTACCTATACCTTTAAGGAACGCACTATTTTCGAGGACACCCTGTATAATATGTTTAGATTATCATTACAAGTGAGGCAGATTAAATTAAATTTTGAGAATTGAATTGTTTTTTATCAGCATAACAAAACAAGATTAATTGTGTAGGTTTAAAAATTTTGTTTTGATTTTAGATTAAGTATAAACATCGAAACACTAGAAAATCGAAAATACTAAAAAAAAGTTTTTAAAAAACAAGAAGGGAGAAAACCGAGAAAATATTTTATTTTCTTACTCTTTTTACTAAATTTTTTTTGTATATTGGAATAAACTAAATGATTTTTAATAAAAAATACAATTTTTATGTTATCGATATCGATATTTATATATAGGGTGGTCAAACGAATGCGAAACAGAGGCATTATCAATTACTGCATTTGAAAAAAACCAACGACAGGTCAATTTTTGATTAAAGGGGTGCACATTTTACTGGTAATTTCGATTATATTAGGGACAGGGTAAAAATCATTCATTTTTTAATGGCAATGAGGTTTACGATAAGATATCGTTTGAAAGCTTATGCAATTTCCTATACATTAGTCGTTAAATTTTTAAATTCGGTCCAGATGAAATACCAACGGAAATCCTTAAACTAATAGAAAAAGACTCGATTCACATTTTAGTTGAACTTTTCAATAGCATTTATACATCAGGAAAATACCACAAGAATGGTTTTTATCCACCTTTGTTATTATACCAAAAAAGATAAATGCCAAACAATGTAGTGATTACCGTACAATCAGTCTGATGAGCCATGTACTGAAAATATTCCTGAAAATTATACACTCTAGAGTACACCAAAAAACTGAAAATGGACATCAATAATACCCAGTTTGGATTCCGAAATGGACTCGGAACAAGAGAGGCGTTGTTTGCACTGAACGTTATGTCTCAAAGATGTCTTGACATAAATCAAGATGTATTCATGTGTTTCATAGATTACAACATGGCCTTTGATAAAGTGCGGCATGATCACCTAATCAGACTCCTGACAGAAAAGAATTTAGATAAACGAGACATCCGACTAATAGCAAATATGTACTACCATCAGAAAGCAGTACTGAGAGTAGAGAATAATAACACTGAAGAAATTGAAATAAAACGAGGTGTGAGACAAGGGTGATACGTTCTGATCACAGAAACACTTGAAGAGCTACAGACATTGGTGAATAAGATAGCAGACTGCAGCGAAGAATATGGACTATCTTTGAACATAAAGAAAACTAAATTTATGGTAATATCGAAATCAACACAAAATGTCCAAAATTTATATTTACAGAATGAAATTATCGATCGAGTTAGCAAATACAAATATTTAGGCGCTTTTATAAATTAAGACAACGATAGCTCAGCAGAAATCAAAATAAGAATAGAAAAAGCCAGATCCATATTCACTAAAATGAAGAGAGTGTTCTGCGGAAGAGATTTGAGCCTTGAAATGAAACTTCGCCTGATGAGATGTTACGTACTTTCTGTGCTGTTCTACGGAATGGAGTCATGGACGTTGAAAAAGATTGATACCAAAAAATTAGAGGCATTTGAACTGTGGATGTTTCGCAGAATCCTGAGAATATCATGGACCGAGAGAGTCACAAATATCGAGGTCTTGAGAAGAATGAATAAAGAAAAGGACGTCTTATTTACGATCAAAAAACGAAAACTGCAATACTTGGGACACATTACAAGAGGAGAAAGATATGAACTGCTTCGAATAATTATGCAAGGGAAAATAGCAGGAAAAAGGTTCATAGGAAGAAGACGAAACTCCTGGCTAAAGAATCTGCGGGAATGGTATAGCTGTAGCAACAACGAATTGTTTCGGTCAGCAGTTTCGAAAATACGTATAGCCCTGATGATCGTCAACCTTCGGAACGAAGATGGCACTTGAAGAAGAAGAAGAAAACAATGGGAGTCAGTAACATTACAACACGTTTACTCAAACAAGCGTCCTCTAAGTCAGGCTAAAAAAAGGACTTACTTTCATTGCTCAACGGTGGAATAATACCCAATGATTATACATCGTTTTATGAATCTTTACCCTGTTCTACGATACATTACGAGATGATAATACAGATTCTGAATAAATTCAAAATTTAATAAAGTGGCCGATTCAATTTTTATTTTCTTCTACCTAAATAGTATTGTGAATAAAGTTCAAAAATGAATAAAATTTTACAAAATCACTATTTACCGGTATTTTTTTCTTATCAACCCTGTCAATCTTAATGCCAAAAGTAAGTGGTAAGCACCACTTAGTGAACTACTGACGTGGTAAGTACATACTGCTTATTAAATATTTGGACATAGAAGAATATTGCTAATATTTTAAATGTGTTTATATTATTGTTTATGAACTTAAGTAACTATTGAATAATTAAAGAATATTGCGGCAGCTATAAACTTCACAACTACACAACATCAAACTTTCAAATTGTTCTCCTTCAAATTGGAAAATTTCTATTTTTGTACTTACCACTTCTGTGCACTATACCATCGATATACCGATGCCTCTAAAACTATAGATAAAGTGGGAGCAGCATTTATGTCTAATAAACCAAAAATACGAAACTCCCTAAATTAACATACATTTACACAGCCGAGTTAACCCCTATTCTCAATGCAATAAATTTTGTGGTAGAAAATAGTATTAAAAACCCTGTCAATATTATGGATTTTTAAGTTCTGTAATTGACCTAAATAACTTATATCCCAGTCATCCAAGAAGTACCATTGCTGGTAATGAAGAAGTAGATTCGTTGGCAAAACTAGCAATCTCGAGTCCTGAAGCTGTAGAAATCAGAAGCATTCCATATCTAGATATAAAACCTATAATCAAGACCTTAATAGTCAATGATTGGCAGACCAAGTGGAATCAACATTCAAACTACGAGAACTAAAACATTCTATATTAACTTGGAAATCAACCCCAAATAAGCGTATACATCAAACCATCCTATCTCGTCTGATAATAGACCACACCGCCATCACCCATAAACAGATACTGGAGAGTGAACTAAAACCACAGTGCTACGTATGTGATATTGTGCTCAGTGTTCGCCATATTTTAGCGGAGTGCAAATTCATGTTGCATGGAGAGACTTCAATATAAATTACAAGATACCTTACAGGCAATATTAAGTGACGGAACTGATATGAAAAATTTGATATTATAGTTATGTTTCATAAATGTACTAAATACATTGTATAACTTTAAATTGTACAACGCCAATTACGCTATGAGGATAAGACATAAATAAATAACAAAAAGAACAAATTGTGAAAAATAATTAATTTCTTAGATTTAGTTAAAAAAAGAAAAATTTTGCATATATTAACAATCTTTGTGAATAAGAATATTAAAAATAATTATGAATAGTGAGAGCAAGTGTGAAAGATGATACTATGGAACAAGGAAAGGAGACGAAGAACACTAAAACAAAAAAGAAACAAAAAGGAGTGTGATTTTAATGAAATACAATATTAAAAAATCGTAAAATACAACTAAAAATCCAACTTAAAATAACGATATTATTATACTAACCTTTCTTTAGATTATTATCCAAAGTATCCATCTCTACTGAATTGACTATTCAAACTATCTACTTATCCATCAATGATTTAGTAACGCTTCACTTATAGTTCTTTATCAGAAAATCAGTTTGATTGTATTTTTATACAACCAGAATTATCTATAATTTTCTTAGATTACAAAATTATTATTAATGTTAAAAATATTTACTGAAGATTCTTAAGATTCTTGAAAGTTTTATTTAAAACATGGTCGTGTAATTAGTTGTTTACACAGGATTTAAGTACACATTATGTTATAAGTATTGACTTATTTATTTATATATATATAATATATATATATATATAATATATATATATATATATATATATATATATATATATTGTTATGCTATTTAAATTGTATTATATTGCTTATTTAGAAAAAATCCTGTCTATATTTATTAAATGATCTAATCTCCAATTAATCACAATAAATCAGCATTAATTAATTACAATCTCAGGCTATTTAACTTGTACTATTTACCTTTGATCGTGGATTCAAAATATTTTCCAATTGGCTTCCTAATTGGGATAGGTAATATGACCTGAATAAAATACATAGAATTTCAACTGAACTATATGTGAGATGTCCTTTATTTTAATGAAATTTTATATAACAATCAATCCTGTAATATTTGCAATATACTAACTTTAAATATATGAGAAGTTGTTTTCTATCATGGACCCAAATGTTATTTTACATTGATTTTTAATATGTGTTATAACTAAGCTCTTTTTATAATATATTTTTTAAATGATCGCAAAATTAACTGTCTCTATTATTTATTCAATTTATTTAATTAATAAATGAAAACCACACTCCTGCTCTAATGAAAATTGACTGACCTTTCTTTCTCTGCCGTTGCAATTCTATGGCAACGCCATAAAAAAAACCTTTCTCTGCTTCTGCTCCTATTATGGTCCAGATGACGTACACCTTTCTCTTATCTGTCCTTGTATCTGCAACCCAACAACTCTTGTTATTCTATGCAGCCTCCTTTTGAGCCAATCTCCGCGCCTGTTTATAACTCCAAATGTTTCCGGCTTCGTCTGATATTAATATTCTTATACCCTTTGGTTTTTCTATCTCTCTGTACCCCGTTCCTCACACTGGTCAGCTTTTACACAGCAAATAAACACACCCGGTAAATTACGTCTTCGGGACTTCAAACAAACACAAATCACAAAGCTCCTTCCTTCTTGGACGACGAAAACTGACTAACTAACTTTTTTCCTCTCTCCTATCTCATAGCCAAAACCACCACCTCCTTGCATTCAAAAATTGACCAATAAAAATCATCCACCTCTGTGACGTATATCGTTACCAACCAACTCTCTCTATAAAACGTCATTCGGGTAATTCCAGAAAACAACATTCTTTAATTATTCTAACTAAATCTATCTGCTTTACAAATATTCTTACTAATAGCTACAAACGATACCTGTTTCTCAATTCAATGTCTTTTGTTAATAAACTTTTACCGATATAATCTTTCGGGGAGAAAAACCACCGCAAATCCCGGTCTATTGTTTAAACACTTTCTATATACACTTTTATTCCGGGTAAATCCATTCCACAATAACCGACTTATTTAAATTTCTTATCGATAATATTTGAAAGTCTTGTCTCTGAGGCCTAATGAACAATTCTTCGAACAACTTAAAATACATATTTTGTCTTATACAGGATGTTTGAAAATTTATATGCCCGTGTCTTATGAAATATCAATAATTTTAATTTTTATTTAAGTAATAAAATTTGTAATCGGTTTTTTATTGCTTATGGACATTCAAAAGTTCAACAATATATATATATATTATATATATATATATATATATAAATATATATATATATATATATATATATATACTTATATATATTTCGTAAAAAAATCATCGACATCTTTATTATAAAATATCATAAAATATCGTCTTTGTCATTGGCCACTATGACATGATCATCTGCACAAACTGAAGAGTAAACAGGTATCTGTCATCTATCTCTATACCCATTCCGTGTATTTTCCTTTTCCAGATCTTAAGTGCCGCTGCTACATATATTTTGAATAGTGTAGGAGAGATAGGACATCCCTGACGTAGTCCCTTATTCACTATGCAGGCATCTGTGACTTTTTAACCTATCTTAATTCTTGATTGTGAATTTTCATACAGTTCTTTAAGTGCAGCTATATAGTTGTGATTGATGTTCGTTTGTTCTAATACCTTCCACAGTCTTGATACCGGGACTGTATCATATGCATTTTGTAGGTCCACAAATGTAAGATGGGTTTCCAGATGTCTAGCAGATCTCTTCTCTATGATTTGTTTTAGACAAAATACGTTATTGGTACATGATCTACCTGCTCCAAAGCCGCTTTGTTCCTCTTCTTTCTCTTTCTCTATTCTCTATAGTCTTCTTCAATTAGATCTCGCAGTATTCTACTGTATAGTCTGCTCAGTGTACTCGTGATTGATATGCCTCGATAGTTGTTACAGTCCAGTTTATTTCCTTTTTTATGGATGGATGATATATACGCTGTTTTTCAGTCTTCTGGAACAGGATGTCCATTTAGGCATTTATTGATAATTATTGTTAGATTTGTAAAGAGTTTTTCCGTTCCCCATCTTAAAGTTTCGGAGAAAATCCCTTCTGGTCCGCTAGCTTTCCCTAACTTAAGGTTCAACACTGTCTTTTTTACTGTTTCTTCGGATACCTTTACTTTTTGTCCATTTACTACAAAATGTTTTGGAGATTCTATTCTGGTTTTATATTTGTCTGGGTCATTTTTGGCTTCTCTTCTTTCGTCCATTAGTTTCAGGATTTCATCTGTCATCCATGATTTTTTCTTCATTATTCTATCTGTCTTTATGTGTTTATCCTTTACATTTTGCACAATTTTTGTAATATGTTTGATCGTTTGTTCTTTGTTCGATTCATCTCTAATTGCAGTCACTTGCTGGTTTAACGTGGCTTGGACTCTCATCCTGGTATCCTCCTTATAAGCAATATAAGATAGTCTAATTTGGATGATATATTGGCCTCTTCAAAATCGAGTTCAATCTGAATATAATACTCAAAAGTCTAGTAATACATCACATGACTGAACTAAACAGTATTATCAATTATATAGAATGTTGTCGTACATATTAATAATTGGTCTAAAACGAAAACAAATGCGTACTGTTAAAAAATATATTTGAGGATATTTTAAGCAATATTTCACAATTACATGTTTCCTAATATTAAAATTTTATAAACAAAATTTTGACTAGTTAAGATAAGATAAAAAGTGGTGTACAATAACGACAGAAATAACGAAGCTTCCAATATCCCTATTATCAAATTAATTAGGTAATCGGAATAAGAATAATCTAAACATTGATCTGAACACTTGCAGCGAAAAAAATTCTTGCATAATGGATAAATTTTTTTACAAATATGTTGACATATATTGGTGTGAATGAAATTATAAGGAATGTGTTAAGATATTTAAAAAATTTCATATACATTCCCTCACATTTTGATAGTGATTTGAAAATACATTTGAAGATTATCTCGAAAATAATTGACTGCAGAATAATTGAGATAAAGGAAAAGAGAGAAATTACCCATAGAAAGAAAATTTAGACGTTTCCTGAAAATAATTCGGTAATTTTATGAATATACCATAAAATATTAAGACATATGAATATACAGGGTGTTTTTTTGGAAAAGAACTGAACTGAAAAAAGGGGACACTTGAACGATCTCAAAACTCTATACTTAATGGATTTCATTTAACCATCATCGAACAAGCCGGTGTCTATTTTGAACACAGATCACAATTTTTTGCTGTTGCTTTATAGATCTTAATTTTTAATTGGCAGTCTTCCATCTATCTGTAGTTTGTATACTGATTGATAAAAAATCAATCAAACAGAGGCATTGCCGTGACAAACTCAGTCAGGAGAATATACGGAAAAGTAATTAAAAACAGAATAGAAAGCAAATATGAAGACTTAGAGGCTGAGGAACAGGCAGGATTTAGGGCAGATAGATCTACTGTTGACCATTTGTTTTGCATTACACAGATTATTGAAAAGAAAATAGCCGTTAATCAAGAAGAACATGTATTGTATGTAGACCTACGAAAGGCTTATGATAGCGTACCATCATTATAAATTATGGTAAGCGTTAGAGAAAACAAACACAATCATGAATTTAATAAATGCGACGAAGGAACTGTACGCTAATGCTAACTCAAAGGTAAAGGTTGGAAATAATCTGTCAAGTGGATTCCAAATGAATAAAGTCCTTAAGCAGGGCTGCTGTCTCTGACCAACATTAATTAAAATTTATCTAGAACAGACTCTAAAACTGTGGAAGCGCAAATGTAGAAATATGGGAATGCCGATTAACAACAATAGCATATACACTTTGTCATTTGCAGGTGATCAACTAGTGATAGCACAAGATTATGAAGATATTGGTATATGAATCAATCATTAACGAGGTATAAAAAATGGGGACTTATAAATCCATTTTCAAACAACCGAGTATATGTGTATCCGCGGGAAACAACAGGACTTCATTGGAAGATGGAGAAGTTATCGAACATTGTAAGACATAAATATTTAATTATGATCATCACAAACGAAGGCAACGTAGACAAGCAAGAAAAACAATTTCTTTTCTCAATAGTATCCTTCGGGATTAATGAGTCTCTAATAATAATGGGTTTTACATGTTTAAATGAGGAATTCCCGGATCTGCGATAAAATTTAACGAAATAATGTAAACATATTGAGTTCCAGTGTCAGTTGGTTTCTTGTCGTATTTATGAATAGTGCATAAAATTCTGAACATAAGTTACGTTTCATTTATATCTAGCCAAAAGCAACTGAGTGAAGATGAACTTTTACGTTTACTTGAAAGTGATGATTCAGAGCTTGATATCAATGAGGATACAAGTGATTTAGAAGATGAAGACAATGTAACAGAAGTAGAAGAAGAAAATGACCTTATTATTAGTTAAAGCATAGAGCAAAATAAACCAACAGTTACTGACTCCGAAGGTTTACTGGTGTATGTATCTAAAGTTGGAACTGAGTGGTCAAAGGTGGACTTTAAAAAATAAAGAGCCTGAATAGAATCGAGGCATTTGAAATGTGGGTGTACCGTAGAATTTTAAAAATTCCTTGGACAGCACGAAAAACAAACGAAGAAGTACTAGCTAGACTCAATGTAGAAAAAGAACTATGAGAACAGTCAAAAGAAGAAAAACCAGTTATTTAGGGCATTTGTTGCGCAACGAGAAATACTACATCCCTTAGTTGATAATAAAAGGCAAAATAGAAGGAAAGCGAGGAATTGGAAGAAAAAAAATTGTCCTGGTTACGTAATATCAGAAACTGGACAGGACTTGGATTTGAGGAACTCTTAAGAGCAGCTGAAGATGACAAACGTTTGCCACCATAACCGCTAACCTCCATTGATGGAAACGGCAACTTGAAGAAGAAGAAGGTCAAAGGTGCCAAAAAATACAAAATGCGCAAAGTCCAATATTCGTAGACATGCTCTAGGACTTACAAATTACAGTGATGATATATCAAGTATGAAAAATGCTTTCCTTCTGTTATTTTTAGACGAAATTCTAAACATAATTGTCATGCAAACTAATCGGAAGGCTCGAGCGTGTTACGATAAATGGAATAGTGGAAACCCAAATAAAACTAAAGTATATGTTTGCATTGATTATGTAGAGATTCAAGCCTATTTGGAGTATTGCAATACTTAGAGCTTTTCATGAATCAAAAGAGGCGAATAATCAGCTATGGTGTCACGATATTGCTTACTGCCGTCCTATAATACCAGCTGCTATGTCTAGAGATAGGTTCAAACAAATAACTTCATTTATACGTTTTGACAATTTAGCATAGATGAGCGTAGATAGATGAGCGTAGATGAGCACCTCGTGTCTTTTAGAGGTAAAGCACCATTCCGAGTATATATGAAGAGCAAACCTGACAAGTACGGATTAAAGATGTGGGCCCTTGTGAACTGCACTACTTCTTCTATTGTAATCATACAAATTTATTTGGGTATGTTTTTGAATTGCCAACCAAGAAAACAAACAATTTTTTAAATCTATTAATTTTTAGGAAAACAAGATCCTAAGCTGGAAAAATCTCAAGGCCAAAGAGTTATCCTAGACTTCATTTGGAAGGATTTTCCATTTGGAAGGAGCGTTTGGAATAACAACTGACAATTTTTTTACGAGTTTTCAACTTGCGGATAAGTTATGGGAGAAGAATATAACTCTATGTGGAACTCTTCGAAAAAATAAAAAGTTTCTTCCAAGGGAGCTTCTACCAGCATCATATAAAACAGATTATTCAAGTATGTTTGCTTTGTTTGCAACCTGAAATTATACGACATTACAACAAAACGAAAGGAGCCGTCGATACAACCGATAAGTTAGCGGTTATATCGAAGTTAAAAACAAACCGTTGACTGATGGCTATATTTTCTCATTTTATTGATGCGCAGGTATTATTTCCTATAAATTGTGGCTACTAAAATATCCTAATGTGAAAAGCACAATATGAGTAAGCGTAAACTGTATATTTTGGCACTGGGCAAGGAACTTTTAAAGGAAATTTGGAATTTTGAAATTTGAAAAGTTGGCAAAATAGATTAAATACCCAGTATATTTGTTATCTATTAGGTTTGGGATATTTGAGACCGCCCAAGTGTCCCCTTTTTTTACAATTACCGTATGTTAGGGTATCAGAGAAACACCTTGTATAAGAGAAAAGGGAATAACAAAATAGAGTGAGAAGTTTGGAACGAAAAAATACTGGAACGAGAGGCAAGATATTAATCTTCAATGCGATACGCAGGTCTCAAGAGTCAAGAGAATTAATATAATTCAATCATGGATAAAATACAACTTAACGTATAGATAGACAGAAGGAACAATAATGGGACATAATAACAAGAATAATAAAATAAGGAAAAATTAAAATAAAATACTGACAAGTTTGTCATATTAAGAAATTTAGAAGTAAACAGATCATACAACAATCAAAGGAGCCTTTTTACACTATTATTTGACACAGACTAAAACATAAACACTTAAAAAGTTAATAAAATTTTCCTAACCTAATACTTTTGTACATTGTCCAGCAACGTACTGGTCGAAAGAAAAAATATAAAATCACATATCAGAATCAACAACAAAGTTGTTATCTGCAATTACTTGAGGGATAAATATTGCTTTATGTGATTTATCTTGTTTATGAAGCTAAAAAGCCACCAATCCTTTCATTAGGTGCAAACTTCAGCTCAATCTTTTCCTTTCGTTTTTCTTTGAAGGGAATTTTTATAAAATCTTTACATACAGTGGACTCAAAGGACTGGTGACAGTTATAGTAAGCGTAACAGTTGTCGTAATAACCAGGAAGCACAGCTCCGTTTTTTCTTTGGCAAAGCTGAAATAAATTATTCAAAATTAGTTTAAGAAAAAGTATATAATCAAGTAATAAAGTTAATATACATATATTGGCATGTCTCGCAAAACAGGAAAACAAAATAGTATACCCATTTAATGCAACCATATATACGTATTTCTGACCATTGGTTGTCTTCAAGCCCACAGCATTTGGCTGTCAATTTTCATCAGCAACTACAAAACACCGTAGAAAAGATAAATGCTAAACACAAAATTATCGTATTCGGGGATCTTAATGCTTGGATCGGAAACAATGTCATACCAGGTAATAAACAACATATACTTTCGTCATAAAGAGACCAACATAAATACATCAATATATCAAACAAAGTAACATCTCTCAATCTCGGATACAGAATGGGCAACAAAAGAACCGGTATGGTGTGTTACGCAGATGATGAAGCAATTATTGTCGAATCAGGAGATGATCTTTAGAGACAGCTCTTTCAGTTCTTTCAAATAAATATAACCATTTCTACCAACAAAACTGAATGTATGACAATAGCAAAAGATCCGCTCAGATGTAAGTGAGTGGTTGAGAACAACCCCGTAGAACAAGTGATGCAATTCAGATATCTGGGCATAGATATATCAAGCATATACGACCCAGTACAGGACCTAAGGAGTCAGATCAACAAAGCATCCGCATTGTCAGGATGTCACACAAATAGTAAAATTAGAATCTACAAGACTTGTCAGGATCTACGATCGAACAGACATATGGCATAGAAGTGCGCGAAGATACCAATAAAACAAAATAGATGCTAAGGGTTGCCGAAATGAAAACCCTAAGAACAATAGTGGGCAAACAAAAAGAGACAAGGTGAGAAATACAAACGTTACAAAGCAGTGCAATCAATTGTAAGACCAAGGGATCAAATAGATTCCCAAATATTGCCCTAGAAAACTAAACCCCGCCTGATTCAATCACCTCCCAGAAAATTAACCAGAGGCAGCTTCAGAATTAAATAGATCAAAAGGTCTCCAAGAAAAAGAAGAAGAAGAATTTGATAACCGCATAGTTTCATGGTTCGGACAAAGAATTGGCCTTCAAGATCGTGCGATTTAACACTGCTAGATTAATTGATGGATTCGACCGTTACTTGATGGAAATTCATTTTATGTAACAATAAAACACTGAAAACTTTGTTTTCAAACTTCCACAAAATTTATTTTAAATCTTATCACTACAGCTGTTTCGGCTGATTGCCTTTCTTAAGTGATCTATTTTTGGCTTGGGTTTACAAATTTATAGTCTCTAATGAAATAGGTTGAGGAGGGGAGAACTGTTTGTCTCAAGTTGGTCATTCAGAGTTATATCTGTGTTTTTTAATTTGTTGATTTCCATAGATTCTAACAAAGATAGCTTAAGGCCTTTATTTTGAATGTGAAGAATTTTAAATTTGTCATCAAAAGAATGATTATGGTCTAGAAGCTGAAGTGCGTATGTCGAATCTGTTTTTCTATTCTTGAAAGCCCTTTTATGTTCTGCTATTCGTTTATCAAAGTTTCTACCAGTTTGACCGATGTAAGTTTTTGGGCAGTCGCCACATTGAAGTTTGTACACACCACTATTTAAGTGTTTTTTATTTTGGCTCTTGTTATTTTTAATATATTTGCCTAGGTTGTTATTTGTTCGGAACGCTGGTGTTTTCTATGTGTTGATGGTGGTGGTGGTATGTTGTGTTGTGTATCCAACACAACATAAACTGGCAGCTTATCATAGTATGTTACATAGATTAACAGAAATTCTGATGTCAAAATACAACTTTGAGACAGAATTAAATATAATTGAGCAAATAGCAGTAAACAACGATACAACGAACAAACAATAATAAAATGTTAAATCAAAAACTACACAAGCCCTGAAATTAGTATTTCCACCACAGAGAAAAAACCAAGTACCTTCTGCTCGATTACATATACAGGCAAAATAACAACAAAAATTGCCAAAATTAAAAAAGAAAGGAATAACACCAGCTTTCCGAACAAATAACAATCTAGGCAAATATATTAAAAATAACAAGAGCCAAAATAAAAAACACTTAAATAGTGGTGTGTACAAACTTCAATGTGGCGACTGCCCAAAAACTTACATCGGTCAAACTGGTAGAAACTTTGATAAACGAATAGCAGAACATAAAAGGGCTTTCAAGAATAGAAAAACAGATTCGACATACGCACTTCAGCTTCTAGACCATAATCATTCTTTTAATGACAAATTTAAAATTCTTCACATTTAAAATAAAGGCCTTAAGCCATCTTTGTTAGAATCTATGGAAATCAACAAATTAAAAAACACAGATATAATTCTGAATGACCAACTTGAGACAAACAGTTCTCCCCTCCTCAACCTATTTCATTAGAGACTATAAATTTGTAAACCCAAGCCAAAAATAGATCACTTGAGAAAGGCAATCAGCCGAAACAGCTGTAGTGATAAGATTTAAAATAAATTTTGTGGAAGTTTGAAAACAAAGTTTTCAGTGTTTTATTGTTACACTGCTAGACTATTTTATGTGGAGATATGTGAAGGTGATAGTCTACGCCGATGAGCATGAAACGATTGCCCATTTGGAGTACAACATTAGCCGCGTTATTGCCAATATGCGGCGACAAATCATCATGGCATGCTTTGAATTATTTTTCGAATAAAGTCAATTTCATGTCCATTTATAAAAATCATCTTCGTTTTATTCCATTTTAAAGTTTTATACTTTTAAAAAAACACCCTTTATAACTGTTGATTTTATTTTTCTTATAGTATACTCACTTTGCTACACTCATATAGATAGTTATAACTAAAGCAGCTGACACAGAGCTATATACAGCCAAAATGATCATGTACTGATAATCATGAGGGAAAAGCACTGGTAAATGACTCCTGGGTTGTGCGTTGCAAAACCAAAACATCGGAGCAACAATAAAAGTGTTGGCAACTGTTAATAACAAAAACCAGCGATAGTTGGATTTCTACAACAAACAATACATTAAAAATATAAAACTCAACATTTTTGAAGGTGTAAAGGACTTACTGTTATGGCAGGTCTTCCAAAAAATTGTCCAACTAGCTGAAAGACTTGGTACAAGAGGAATGTTGCAGTTACCACAAAGTATTTGTCTAAAAATATGTTAAACAATAAGTTTAGTAATGGCACATATTTTAAAATATTTTTATTAAACATTTGTAACGGTTAAAAAAAATGAATAAAATTTCGTTCATTAGAATGTAATTCATAATGCATTTACTTTTATTCGATCAGTAGGAAGACCACGAAAACGATGGCATGACAACTTACTGGAGGTACATTGAAAAACATACTGAGTGGTTTTTTCCAGAGCCAGATTGGACAGTACAGAGGAGAAAAAATCGCCCTGACGCAACCCGTTACTTTTTTTAAGGTTCAGACGGTTCCCTGTAAATTCGCTCTTTACAAACTGATTTGGTATTCCTAGCTCTTTCATTGCTATGAACATTTCTCTTTTATTCACAGAGTCGTAAGTTGCTTTTTATTCTATAAATATGTGATTAGTACCAATGCCATATTTCAGTGTTTTTTCGAATATTTTAATTTTGAGAAAGAAGCGCTACTTCCAGGTGTTGATTTGTATAATATTTAATTACAGCAGATATGTCCTCTTTCAAATGTTTCCTCTGTAAGAATTGCCTTTAAGAGATAAGAAAAAATAGCGTGAATCGGAATTTTCCAATAAGACCATTGTGAGAATCTGAGCAATTGCCGGTTTGTCAAAGATTGAGTTTTAAGAGGAAGTCAAATTTGTCGTCTTGAGAATATTATTAAAAACAGTGGGGGGATATGTTGGAACACAAAAATTGCGATGAGGTATGATAATTGAAGATTCAGTAGCTGGATTTTGAAAAAAGTTGAGTTTAGGGCATACAGCCTTTAGCTGGGTGTTTAGCTGATAAAAGGGATGTAGTTCATTGTTTAGTATTATTTGTGCATTTTTTGGAGAACAAAAGTATCTTTGTGTTATAGTGTATTTTTATGTATGAGAGAGAGAGAAACAAAAATTATGTATGCAAATCCCTAAACTGTTGATACGGGTGACTCAATGAAAAACAGATATTTGTCAACAAGTTTACAGAAGTATATAGGAAAACAATTTAAATTGAGTATGACCACCAGGTATAAAGGTTGGAGCAGAATAGGATACAACAGTTGTGAGGGTTACTAATCCCTAAATAAGGTTGCCAGTGTCGGAGTGATGGAGGTTAACAGGTACTAATGAATTTGCAAGAAATGTAAGATGTTTATTTTATTGGTTATATATAACCAATAAAAGTTTAATAAGTACCTACCTATTTACAAAATAAAGTTTAATTCTTTAGATAAAATAAAACGTTTTATTTTATCTGAAATGAGTGCATTCCACGAAGTAAGGGTTTCAACAATCTAACATTTAATTCTTTAATTCCAGGAATCTACGACAGTAATTGACCAGATAATTACCTTCTAAACTTATTCCACAGAAAATGTGATAGTGGGTTTTTTCCATTTTGTAGGAAGGTTCAAGTGGCGTATTCAAAATTCTTAACAAATCACTAAAAGTAGGTACTTCAGTTGCAAGGTGCAGTTTATTGTGTATACTAGTGTTATGGAAAATTTGGAAGTGCCGTGTAAACGCCGAAAAATTGGTCCTTTAACAGTTGATGAAAAAACATGAATATTTAATTGTTTTAAATCATTTACAGACAAAAGTTTATGTGAAAGTGTTGATGAGACCGTTGAGTTGTTAGCAGTACACTTGGTGTTGGGAAATCTACGATTTACAGAGTTATTAAAGAAGAGAAATGTGGTAGTTTTCAAATGCCACGTAATGCTCCAGGGAAACAAAAATTTCAAATAGAATATCATTTTAAAGAAAGACTTCGACGGAAAGTGCATGAATTCTTCTTTAGACAAGAATTTCCAACATTGGATAACGTTCTTGTCTTAGTTCGAGATGATAAGGATTACCCAGAAATGAGTCAAAGTACGTTATGGAAGCTTTTAAAAGAAATAGGCTTCCGCTGGAAAAGGAATCCCAGAAAGTCTATTTTATTAGAAAGAAGCGATATTGTCATATGGAGAAGACATTTTCTAAGAACCATAAAGGAAATGAGAAACCAAAAAAGAAAAATATTTTATCTTGATGAAACATGGATCAACGAGGGTCATACACCAAATAAATTTTGGCAGGATGAAACTGTTACAAGTCAAAGGCACGCTTTTGTAAATAACTTATCTACTGGTTTAAACCCACCATCAGGAAAGGGACGCAGGCTGATAATAGTACACATTGGCAATTCAGACGGTTTTGTTGAAGGTGGTTTATTAACTTTTGAATCAACTCGTACCGGTGACTACCATGAAGACATGAACGCTGATGTCTTTCAAGAATGGTTCGAACAAATGATAGATCTTCTTCCTAAGAACTGTGTAATAGTAATGGATAATGCAAATTATCACTCCAGACTTATAAAAGGACTGCCCACAACCAAGTGGTTAAAAAAAGACTTGCAGAATTGGCTGAGTTCAAAAAATATTACGTACCATCCCGGATTTATAAGAAAGGAACTTTATTCGTTGTGTGCCCTTTATAAAGAAAAATTTAAAAAATACGAAATTGATGAAATTGACAAAAATCGTGGAATGACAGTACTTAGATCCCCACCATATCATTGTGAATTAAACCCGATTGAACTGGTATGGGTACAGATAAAGAGTGAATTTTCAAGAAAAAATACCACTTTTAAAATTCATGATGTTAAACAGTTGTTTTTGGAGGCCGTTAATAATGTGAAACCTGAAAACTGGGAAAAGGCAGTAAATCACACTATTAAAGAAGAGGAAAAAATGTGGAAGCTGGACAATATTATTGATAAAATGATCGAGCCAGTTATTATAAATCTTGGTTCTGAAAGTTCATCTTCTGAATCTGATTTGGATTTGTAACAAGTAGCTGTAAGTTTTATATTAATATTTTTATTCATCTATTTAACATACCTTAGACGGTTTTAAAAACTCTTTTTCTCTTTTGTAATTTTTAAAAATTAAAAAAAATATGAATTTTTTAAAAAACCCTTTTTAATGTAGGCCAGTCAGTTCTAATATAGTGTGTGATAAAAAAGAGGACACTTTTGTTTACATACACATAGCACTTTATAACACTGAAATAATTCATTTATTTTTTACAATTATTCAAAGTAATTTTTCAATTGATCTTGAGCACGCCCATGGAGTGGTCGGAGATACCAGTTAAAATTATGCTAATTACTCTCTCGTTCATAAAAATAAACTACTTATAGCGAACAGTAAACTTATAGCTAAACTTATAGCGACAGTATGGTTTTGGTTAAACAACACGCTAAAATTAGGTAAACAACACTCTGTTTACCTAATTTTTGTATCCTTTAATAGCAGATTAAGTAACTATGCTAAATATAACATGGATCGTGATCTACATAGGGGTAAAACGCATATTATCATTTATATTTTCCTTTAACAATTTATGTACCCAGTATATTGCAGTGTTAGTGCTTTTTAAAGGGATATATCCCGTAATATTTTTATATTGTTTGATCATGTCTTCCAATTTTAATACTTGTTCATTTTGTGTGTCTAAAACGCTCTCTAAAATTTGTCAGCTACATATTTAAACAACTAGAAGAAAAACGTGAATAATATTGGACAACACCCTCCTTTGTACTTATATCTAATTTTTTAATGTGGCGATCATAATAATCCATGATCTCAATAAATGCTTAATGAATTATGATACTTTCTCTCTAACCTTTGTTAAACTTTAACTTTTTTAGCAGTCCTTATAACATAAAAAGTAACGTCAATGTACTCACCATACCATAAGCTCTTTCCGGTACCAGTATACCCTTCAGAGACCACCAAGCTCGTTATATTAGGATGTCCGAATCCCACTCCAACTATATTAATCGCCATCATCAATACTAGGAACCATACAGTCTTTGTAGCATCCCAATATTGTCTTAGACTGCGCGCTGGCTTTGATTTCTCTTCGTGGTCATTGGCAAGATAGTATTGGAAAACAGGGGAGTATTTTATGGCATAGGCAAAGAGAGCTGTGACAATTATTATTACCTGAAAAATAAGTGATGGTTAATTCATACTTGGCAATTATAATAATAGCATATTGTAGATAACCATGTAACCGTGGAAACACTTTCCACGAAGGAACACAAACCTTAGTCTCGGGAAAGATACTAAGTGCATAATAATCCTACGAAAAATCTTATACTTATATCATAAAGTAAAAAATACTTACTGTTCCAGTAGAGAAATATATTAGAGCCACTTGAGTGGAATCATCTCCTATGGACAAAGCCAAGATTTGCAGAACTGATCCTAGCAGGCCTCCAACAGCAGAACCAAACATGTTATATCTTAAATACATTGGAGGAAACTTTGATACAAGGCAAATTGTTGTCAGTAGGCAAACCGGTTGCAGAACTGCAAAATGCTTTATTAGTTACGAGTTTAGATTCGTTTTAAACGAGTTACCAAAATGGTTGTTACTTAATTACAATTATGTTGAACTTAATAGATTAATTTAAAATAAGTATTAAATAAAGTATTAGATTTATGTTGTCATATTTAGTAATTCTTTTGAATAACTGTGTAGTGTTTTACTTACATGACAATAGTCCAATAACAGTTAAGCATAGCACAAAAAATGAATCTTGCCCTAAAAAAATTTAAATATTAGTGAATTATTTTATTCGGTTACAATCCGGTTGTTTTGTTGATAAAAGTAAAACTAAAGAATTTAAAGCACCCTAGCTCCAAGATAATCATGGATACAAGGCGGCTTAAACACATATGCAGAATCAAAATTTAAAATAAACGAAAACTTAAGGAAAATCAAAGAAGATAATGCAGAAACTCCAACTATTGACCAAAAATGAGGAAACATTCCTTGGAAACCACTTGAGAAAAAACAAAACCTTGGATGACAGAGTCGAAATTCTTGAACTTCTTGAATTCAGAAAAACACCAGAAAGAAGAAGCAAAAGAGAGGTGGCTCTCCGACAGATACAATAAAATACAAGATCTGGATAAAAAGCAACATAGCTTTAATTTACACAAAAAAAAATCAATGAAATAGCAGGTTCTAGAAAAAGCACAAAAACGAATATCTTTAAAAATGGTAAAGTAGATATTATCACTGATATAAACGAAATATGCCATCAAAAACACAAAAGATGCAAAGCTACTGGACCAGATGATATGCCCATCGAATTATTAAAACTCAATGATGAAGATGTTATTCATGTAGTGGTTAAAGTCTTAAATCAAATCTACCAGACTTCCACAGTTCCCAGAAAATAGCTGCAATCTACCTTTGTGGCAATACCCAAAAAGTCAAGTGCAATATCCCGCTCAGATAACAGAACAATAACTTTAATGAGTCACACACTTAAAACATTTTTGAAAATAATACACAGCAGAATTTTTACCGCTCTTGAATATGAAATTAGTGACACAATTTGACTTTAGAAAGGGTATAGGCACAAGAGATGCTTTATTCGGCTTGAATGTGTTGGCCCAGAGATACATGGATATCAATCAACACATGTACTTATGTTTTGTAGATTTTGAAAAGGCATTTGATAAGGTTAAACATAAAAAGCTTGTTGAAATATTAAAAAGCAAAGATATTGACAATCGTGATATAAAGATTATATCTAACCTATATTGGAATCAAACTGCCAAGGTAAGAGTTAACAACCAGAACACTTGCGATATCAAAATACAGAAAGGAATCCGCCAGGGTTGCGTGGTGTCACCACTACTCTTCAATGTCTACAGTGAAGCGGTATTTAAAGAAGCGCTCTCAGACTCAATAGAAGGTATATCTATCAATGGAGAAGTTTTGAATAACTTCTCCATTGTTTTACTAACTATAATATACTAACTAACTGTTTTACAAACCAAACAGTAATAATGAAGAATAACAACAATGATTTACAGAATGTAATGCAACGCCTTAATGAATGCTGTTATGAATACGGACTAAGGATGAATTTAAAAAAAAACTAAATGCATGATTATAACGAAATCAGCAGATGCAAACATTTAATTGATTTTTGAAGATACTGTAATTGAGAGTGTGGATATATACAAATACTTCGGAACATGGATAGCTTCAGGGGACAACATGACAACATAGAACAATATGTAGACCAAACCAAAGAAATTAAGACACGTATTGAAATATAACGCATCATTCTTTAAACTTAAAAAGTTTCTTTTTTATCGGAATATAAGGTTAGGACTACGCCCTAAGAATGCTGCGGTTTTACGTATTCATTACTCCTATTTATGGCTTGGAAGCATGGACAATAAGTTGGTCGCCTTTGAATTTTGGTTTTACAGAAAAATTCTTCAGAAGAATAGGAAATGAAGCTGAAATAATATCAACTATCAAAAGAAGAAAACTTGAGTACTTAGGCCATGTTAGGACAGGGCAAAGATATCCATTATTTCATCTTATTATACAAGGCAAAATTCGAGGAAAGCAAAATGTGGAAAGACGAAGAATATCGTGGCTTTAGAACTTGAGGGAATGGTTTGAATGCAGTAGTGCAGAGCATACATAAATTATGGCGTAAATCTCAGTAGCAACAAAATAAAAAGACTTTACCAATTCTTTATGGTACCACCAGCAAAATTTCCTGAAAGATGATATTAATTCACATTTTGCAAACTATCGATGAGAAAATAATATCAGGACGAGCTTAATCTTAAGAGAACGATATTAAAGAGATATTTGTAAGATTACTGCAGCATACATTACTGTAAACTTTCGAAAGGGTATTGAAATAAGTGTAAAATATCACGTCAAAAACAGTGTAACACCAGTAACACAAAATATATAACGGTATAAAATATAAGATGACTAAAGGAAAAACTTGTGCCAAATAATCGTAAACCTTTTAACATTGTTATTCATAATGGTCAACATCAGTGAAAAAATAAATGTAAAAAATGTCAATTATTGGACTTCTCTTTTTCATTATCAAATATATTTATATTGTTAGTCTTAATATGTATTATGGTAAACAAATAATCTGTTTACATGTTGTTTTTAAGGTTAGGTAAATAATATTGTTAAGGTGGGAACTAGGAAGTGTTTCCATTTACTCCGTCCAAATAATGCGTTCGCTTTTACCCCAAATAATTTTTTGTATATGTAAAATGTTTCAAACGTCACAAATCTATGTCAAGAAGAGACCGGCGCGTCCATATTCAGTAAAAGACTTAAAAAGGCAGTAGCTGACACGTTTCAACCAATAACTTAACATCAGCAAGCTTCTGCTTTTTACGGAATTCCAATTTCTAATATATTTAATAGAATAAAAGGTCGTAAAATTTGCTATGAAATAGAACTTGCTATGAAAGTTAATATTCAAATTATCAAATTGGCTAGCCATCACACAGACAAAATTAAACCCCTTGACAAATGCTTATTGGGCTAGTGAAAAAAGCATCGGATCAAAGGTTTGTGGAGTTTTTAAGGGCAATATCAGAGTTAGAACAGGGCATTTGCAAAATAGTAATTTTGTTGAACTCCTGAGCTTAGTTTGGACAGAAGCTATGACAAAGCCAAATATTGAAGCAGGTTTCATTACCACAGGAATTTGTTTAGTAATTTGAAAGCGTTTTCCAGGAAGTGTGTTTGATCCAATGGCGCTTCTAGCTTATCAAAAATGAAAAAGAAGAAGTAATATCGGTTCTGTAATCAAACCTGCTCCAGAAATGCAAGAAGCTGGAAATTTAAATTCATCTTTTGATTTTGTTCCGAAAACGGAAGGACCTGGCTATTCAGGTTTATCAGCACGTTCTGATTTACTATTATTATCAGCTACTGTTATTGATTCTTCTATTCTATGTTCACCCTCTGCAATCGCTTAAATCTTTGCTGAAGCAATTTGTGAAAAAAGATCCTTGACAAATCCAAATTTTAAAAAAACCAATACCCCGTTTAATATAAAGTAGTAATGGCGGAAGCGATAGCTGCAAGGTTCAGACAAGCTAAGAATCGGAACATAAAATGACCCAAAAGAGTTAAGAAACCAAAAACCAGCAAAAATAACACTACAATAAATTTTAAAAAAGCTAAAAAAACTATATATTTGTATTTTCCTTAAATAAATTGTTCTTATTCTAAATATCATCATTACTCAAGAATGTATTAAGAATATTTCCAGTTACCCCTCAGTGAGCTTAGCTGATATTCTTTGTAAATAACAGCTCGTTTTCGTTTACCCCAATATTACAGGCAAATGGAAACATTCATGGAGTAAATCGAAACACTCTAAAAAATCCCGAGTCTGAGTTCAACAAAAAGGTTTGTGTCTACTTGTATATATTCTAAAAAACCAAGCTCAGAAGTAACAGCCATATACAGGAGAACTTGAAATTTTCATTTATACTTTTTCTAGATAATTTTAAAGTAAAGTCTTTCAAAATTGTTTCCAGTTCCTCCGGCTGATCCTATGTGTGAGAATAATAAACTATTTCAAATCATTTTCTTTTTCCATCTACTTAATCAAATATGCAAATAAAACATATAAACTCTCAATCACAAAAATCCTATAGACAGTTAAAAAATCTTTCCAAGAATGATCAGAATATTGTACTACTAGTAGTAATCACTAAGTTCTTTATAATAGCCGACAAAATAAAGTATATTTGTATTCTATATTGTATACTTACATTGATCAGTATTGATTTTAATCACAGCGGTAAAAACTAGAAATATTATACTCTGTGGTACCAAAGTTAGCAGGTATCTGGTTCTGACGCTGAGCTTGTGGCCATATCTGGTGGTCAAAAATATTCCCAGAAGGTTGGGAAGTGTAGTACAGACCGATACTGTCGATACGAACATGGCTTGTAGATCCGTCTTGTTGTTCAAATCGTAATTATCTGATCTTGGGTCACGAAATTTGTACATCCAATACTAAAACAAAACAATTATTTTCGATTCGGAAACGCGTGGTAGCACATGATTAAGGGTAAAAGATCTATAGGAAGACGAAGATTTCCTAGCTAAGAAACCTAAGAGAGTGGTAAATTTGCTGCTCAGTAGATCTTTTCAGAGCAGCCGCCAATAAGGTATGGATAGCTGTGACCATAGCCAACCTTCGGTAGGAGAAAGAACTACAAATAGCAGACTATGCAGGTAATGATTATTTATCTAAGGCTACACGTTCTGTTGAGTAAGCGTAATGTGATTTAAATAAACTACTTCACATCTTTTTACAAATTAGAATACACTACGTCAAATAAAGACGTGCTCTTTCTTAACTACTTACAGATAAGTGCTTTTAATAAGCAAATAAAAATGTTTTGTTCTGTGCATTTTAAGAATAGTTTATTAAAACTTTTCAAAAAATCGACTTTTGCGGCCATTTTTGCAATTATTAAGCAACAACAAACAACTCGAGAGCGAATTTTCATGCCCACGATAGTAGAGCACAATATCAGTAGCGATATTAAACTACAACTGATAAACTTAGCAGCAGCACTCAATATGGCAGTCGCCAGTACCTATTTTAAACACAAGAGCATACACAAGGTATCCTGGACCTCTTCTGATGGAAGAAAAATGGGTCAAATTAATAAAATCTTGATAGATTTATGGCCTGGAATAGACGTAATAAACTGCAGAAGTTATAGAGGTGGAAACATAGACTCAGATCATTGTCTAGTAATCTCAACATTAAGGGGTTAAAATTTCTAACACCAGTAAAGAAAATAAAATGAATATAAAAAAATGGAACGTGCAAAAGCTGAGGATGCGACAATTACAGGACGGTACTCAGAAAACATCACCAACAGGCTAAGGAATCAAAATGTAAATAAAGAAGGCTAGCCAGATATAGACTCCTACTGGACCGCTAAGCAGCAGCGAAAGAGAAAATAGGAACAGAAATTTGTGCCCGTAAAAATCAATGGTTTGACGATGAATGCAAGAATGAAAGATGCTTACCCGAGGAACTAGAACAACTATGGAGAATCACCAGACAAAGAGAAGAGAAGAAAAGAGAATATATAAAGGAAAAAAAACGAAACCACGCAAGTGGGGAACTTAAATATATAGAAAACCTCAACAGAGAGAAAGAATTCAGAGCATTTTATAAGAAAATTAACATCAACAGAAAAGAATCCAAGGCAACCACCAGACAATGCAGAAGTCAAAATGGCGACCTGAATAGATGGATGCAAAACTTTAACCATGCACTTAATACAGAGAAAGAAGAAGAAAACCTGAAAGAAAAGCGGTAAAAGAAAAAGATGAGAGGGAATAGATAATGTCTATGCTTTTTCAGTCAAATTATATCACTTTTCCATATATATTTCATCGGTCTTTACCTTTAGTATTTAAAACCAAATAGTAATCTTACATTGTTTATATATTGTTTATAGTAAGAAAGGATGTTTAACTTTCTGTATATTTTTTTATTTGATGTTAATGAAAGAATATGCAAAGGTATAAGAGTGGCACAGATGGCAATGGCAAACACACTAAGAGTTGTTAGTACGTTTTTTCCTCAGAAACAATATTCAAAAAGGAATCTGGATGATACCTGGTACTAATAAATTTAATCAAATTGATCACCTATTAATATCTAAGCGTTGGGCAACCTCCGTAAGGGATGTTAGAACTTATAGAGGTGCACACTGGGATTCGGACCATTTCTTGGTTATATCAAAGATAAAACAAAGAATATCAATGGTAAGAAAAGAGAAAGGCGTCAAATAAAAAAATGTAACACATATATGTTTAAACATCCTAAAAAGAAGAATGAGTACCAGCAGAAAATAAAAGTAATATTAAATGAAAGAGGAGAACAAAACAACATTGAAGAAGAATGGAATGTTATCCAAACGACAAAGAAAACATTAGGTGAAACGTCAAGCAAAAGAAACAAGGAATGGTTTGACCAAGATTGCCAAAAAGTAATAAATGGCTAAAATACAGCTAGACAAAAATGTCTACTAAGGGATTCCCTATTTAATAAAAGGGCATCTGAAGAGAAAGATGTAAAAAATATGTAGAAGGAAAAAGAGAGAAATGTTTAATAGAAAAATACAACAAATTATAGTTTATAATAACAGAAGAGAGACTAGAAAATTTTACCAGGAAACCAAGCAATACACCCAAGGATACATAACGAAATAATGAACAGCTAGAAGGAGTATTTTCAAGAGCTGTTTAACCCAGAAAAAGAAAAAAAAAGATGAAGAAATAATTCACCATACAGCAGAACAACTAGTTGAGCAACTAATATTGGAAGAAACGATAAACGTCATAAAATATCTAAAAAGTAACAAAGCACCTGGCACAGATAGAATACAGAATATAGAACTGCAGAACTGATAAAGAATGGTGGAAATGCGCTATGGAGGCGTATCCATAAACTAATTGATCGCATATGGGGGACAGAAGTCATCCCAGAAAACTGGGGGAGACAAACGACTCTGAAAAAATTATAGGGGCATAACAGTTTTAAATGTCGTCTACAAGATATTATCCAGAATTATATACATCTACCTGGAATCGTTTTCGGAGGAGATGATTGTTGAACACCAATGTGACTTCAGACTAAAGAGGTCAACTATAGACCAAATACATATGTTAAGAGGTATACATGAAAAATGTATTGGATATAACATACGTATTGACAACTTGTATATCGATTTCAAATAGGCGTTTGATGGAGTAGATCGACAAAAGATGTTAAAGCAAGTATCTATATTAGGGATACCCAATAAGTTCGTTAAACTTATACGAATGACTCTGGAGGGTTCGAAAGCTATGGTAAAAATAAATGGAGATATGATGCAGCCCTTTAATATTGAAAATGGAGTTAGAAGCGAAAAAGTTATAGAACTGATATGAGAACCTGCTACGTTTGTTCTATATATAAATGAAAGCAAAACAAAATATATGGAGTGCACAAAATCAAATCAACATGAGAATCTGAAGGTAGACAACCATACCTACAAATGTGCCTCCACTTTTCCTACCTAGGCTCAATAATAAATGACAACAACATCAGTCAAGAAATACAAGCACGGATTCTTAGCGGTAATAAGTGCTCTTACGCATACAAAGACTTAATGAAAAGTAAGTTATTGAATCGTGAGTCTAAGCTTAGAATCTACAAAACAGTAATTAGATCAGTGGTCACATATCGATGTGAAACGTGGACCCTCTCAACCACTGATGAAAATCAACTGAGAATATTTAAGCGCAAAATACTAAGGATAATATTTGGACCAACCCAATGCAGCGATGGTTCGTGGATAATTAAAATGAACCACGAGCTGGATGAACTAATGCAGAGCGCAGATAATGTTAAATTTTTAAAGTCACAAAGACTAAACTGGCTTGGTCACCTAGAAAGAATGCCCGATAATCCAGCTATAAAAGTGTTCAGAGATGGAAGACCCAAGCAAACAGAACAAGGGGAAGGCCCCGTAAAAGATGGATAGACGACGTAGAAAGGGATCTTCAAACCATGAACATCAGGCAGTGGCAAAGGAAAGTATCCGACAGAGCAGAATGGAAGAACGTTGTTAAGCAGGCCAAAACTCACACAGGGTTGTAGCGCCATTAGAAGAAGAAAAAGAAGATACTTTTTTATTAGGTACATATTGTTATCAAAAAATTTATCAAAAGCAGTTGTTATTTACCTATATCAAAGAGTGTCTTCAGAAACTCGTTACCTACTTCTCTGGTCTATTAATATTAAAAACATATATAGATATTTTTCATTACTAAAGACAATTTATAAATCTGAAACATTCCTAAATAAAAGATATTTGGTATTAAATTCTTTCTGCATACTTACATCATTAGCTTGTAAAAAGAACGCCAGAGGAAGCATGCCTACAACGGCGCTAAGAAAGACAGTTATCCTGGCAAAGAAATATTCATCCCTCGGTTCCTTCAACGAATCAATTTTTTTAAAAGATGAATCTAAAATTATATCTATTATCAATATTATTTATAGAACACAACCTATATTGAAAAAAATTATCAAATTGTTAGATTATCTATTATTAATATTTATTTTAATGCATAAAAAATTATCACAGAATGGAAATTTATATAATGTTGATATTATATACAGTCGTCTCGCGTTAATTCAAACCTGCGATAATTCGAACCTCTTTATAATTCAAAGTTATCACGAGTTTCCTACAAAATCTCTTTATATTTCGAACTAAATCAATACATTTTGTATGAACTTGGTAATTCGAACATAAAAATCATTGCTATATATCAAAACGACACTAAAACGCACACAATTCTATATAGTAGGAAGGAATAAGAAAGTAAAAAATCTAGAGTTTTATTTGTGGAGGATAATGACTAAGTCAGAAATCATAGACTTTCAGTCAGTCAGTGAAAGAATATTCAAGTTAAGAATTTGCGCCCATTTCTTCAACCTAAAAATGATAAACATTCACTGCCCACAAAAGAACAAGAACAACATACAAAGGAAAGCTTCTACCAACAGCTGGAGGAGTATATAAACAAGCGAGAATGGGGAGTTTTTAATAAATTTTGCCACCAGTAAAACATGATTTTCACATAAAGACATACACAAAATGACATGGATTTCGCCAGATGGAACCACAACCAATCAAATCGACCATCTGCTAATAGACAAAAGGGCAGCCAACAGTATCTCAGATATGAAAACACGACGAGGACATGCTGTGGATCAGACCATCTTTTGCTTCATACTAAATTTAGCTGCAGATTTAACAAAGAAAGAAACGAAAGACATCAAAAGTACAAACCAACTGGATTTATGAATGTAAAGAGAAGTTTGAAGAAGAAGTTGCAAATGAGGTAAGGACGCTAGAACTGTACTCTCTAGAGGGCAAATGGAATAATATCAAAACAGCAGTACTGACAGCGGTAGCGTCCACCCTGGAAATAAGAAAAAGGCGAGAAAAGGAACATGGTTCGATATACCGAATAACCGAATGGAGAGCCCCATAGGAAAGAAGAAAAGATGACGACCTCAAAGATCCTGGAGAAACGAAGTAGACGACGCCAGGAGTAAGAGAGGCCTAAACGATGGAGAATGGGACAACAGATTGAGATGGAAGCGGTTAAGCGAGGGTAGCAGTGAATACTGTAGAATCTCTGAATATATATGTGTCGATTTTATCATGTGTTAATCCATGAAAATCAATAAAATTGCACCGTAACACTAAAGTTTAACAGACTGTAAGAAAAAAATTATAAAAAATTTGCAGAAAAATATACTAGTCACCAAATAGATGCTATAAATGAAAACTTACCTCCAATTTTCGACTCATCTTCCACGTCAACTTTACAGCTACCTTTACAACTTTTTAATAATGGCTCCGTTTCCAAAACCAAGTCAGTTTTTAAAACGTTAATTATGTCAAAATCCCTAAGTAAGGAACAACTTGTACTAAACTTTCCAGCCGTTTCCATTGTACCATAATTGCTCAAGAGGTTGTTCGATTTCATCGAGGAATTGTTGTTGGTTGATTTTTGACTCGAAAAAAGGTCGTTTTCTATTGTAGTTTTAACTGTCTTTTCTAAAAAGTTTGTGTAGAGCCCAGCAGGGTTTATACTTGTGTATAAAGTTTCATAACTGGTTAGTAAATCTTCATTGGTTTGAGTCATCTTTGCTGCATCGTCGATTTGATTTAAAGAAATTGATACAAAGTCATTTGATAAAAAAACGTTATTTGTTTGATATTCCACAGATTTATCCATGATTTGTGTCAAAAAATGATTATATTATTAAAATGTAGCTTCTGTAGAGTTTTTTAAAGATCTTGACGACTTCAACGATGAAATCTTTCATGAACCAACCTCTCAAACATTCAGCTGGCACTAAGCTTATTAATAAGCGAAAGAATTTAACGACAATTTAACGATTATAAACAAGCAATATAATTTTTTGTTTACAAAAACTATCAGTTTGGCCTTTTGTCGTTAATTGTTTTAGTAACAATGAAGCAGTTCATACAACTTAAGGAAGTAAACAGAAGTTTACTATTTATTTATTGATATTAATGTTATTTCGTTGTATTTGCTTAGTTTTGCAGATAAATTTTATTTGATTTTTATTAACGTTGTTAAATAATTTGGGTTAAAGAATAATTTATAACGTACTTTTGCCGATTGATCCACAATGAAACCAAGTTTCTGGAAAAACCAACTGTATTTTAAACTTTCACTGGCTAATTTGTCCTCATTTCCAAAAAATTGCAGGGTGTGTGCTTGTCCATCCTTTTTTAGTATAGTTATTTGAGATTTTTTAAAAAATCTGTTAAATTCATCAGTTTATATTGATAATGATTGATTATATTTTTATTTTATGCGATAAAACCAAAAGAAAATGCAAATCTTATATTAATTATTATATCACCATCGCTGGCTCGACAACGATTTATTTGGGTTTAGCCTGTTCCAGGATTCTTCTCAATACTGATCTGATTCAGATCATTTTTTCTATTTTGTGTCCATTCATTTATACACTGTATATTACATTTTCCAAAAACACAACGAAAAGGTCCAAATACAATACATCACACATCAGAAAAAGAGTGGAAAGACTACTATAAAGAACTACTCACAGAAAACCGCCCAGATTTCATAGATACAGACGCTGAACATGAACAACAACAAAATCAGAATGAAGAACAGATTGAGATAATAATAATCGAAGTAAAGAATGTCATAAAGACTTTAAAGAACAAAAAATCAGGGGGACCTGGAGGAATCGTTAATGAACTAATTAAGTACGGAACGGACAAACTACACAGAATTATACACGAAATATTCAATAACACTATAAACCTGAACGAAATACCAGATGCATGGTCCAAAGCATATATGAGGAGCAGACTTTCAAATCGAAAGTTCGTCCATATTTTCATTTTTTGACTTAGAAGTGGCGTTGGATTAGTCAAAACATCATTTATTAATTTACATACTCCTAGATATTCAAAAATCACTTAGAGAAAACAAAACGCATTTTGTCCAGTAGCGAGAGACAAACAAATAGCGCTATTTTGCTTGCATTGCTTTTTTACTGTTTAACGACTTTATTTTGCTCTGAGACGTTGATTTAGGAATCAACAGTATCTGATATTATTCGTGCTTAATAGGTTGGTTTTATAATAATAATAGGTGATAATAGTATTAAAATGAGTGAAGGTGAGCATATTGTAGGTGATACAAATAGAGGAACGAGAAAAAGAAAAAGAAATACTACGGCAAAAGAACGTAAGAGAGAAATAAGGTAAACTACAGGTTATGTTTTTGTGGTTTAATTTGTTTTCTTTTAGATATTCAGATTTAGATCCAGAGTTATTGAATTTTAAAAATAATTGTGTTCAGAAATCAAAAAAATTTGCATGTATAAATCTTTTGTTGGCCGACATAAAAATTATTAGACAAAATTTCTATGATAATGAAGAAAAGAACAAAAATGCTCAGGATAACAAATTAGCACACATGATGAATATTAAGGAAATAAAAAGGCAAAGGAAGAGAAAGAATGGTAAATCACATGATTTTCAAGTGCAAAGCAGTTTTTAAATCAATGGAAGAGGAATCTGCTGATAGCGTGACATATTGCTTTGATGTTCAACAGGTCCAAAATCTTCCAAAGGCGCCTATTACGGAAACATTCTATTCTCAGCAACTGGCTTTTTATGCATTTTGTGTGACAGATATTTTAACAAAAACTCCTGTTTTTTATACATGTCTTGAGCATGAAGCAGAAAGAGGTGTGGTAGAAATAAGTTGACTGACTTTCTAAAAAAGACTGATTTTGACCCAGATATTAAACATTTAAGATTGTTTTCGGACGGATGTGGGGGTCAAAATAAAAATTCCCACATGGTACATGCACTCACCTTATGGCTTTTAAATAATGCCCCAAAAACTATTCAAACACTTACGATGACATTTCTCGTTCGTGGCTATTCGTTTATGCCAGCTGATTGAGTTTTTGGTCAAGTTGAGCTAGACTTACGCGCCCATGCTTTTATAAAGTCACCAGAAAAATATTATGAAATCTATTCTAAGAAAGGACAAGTGCGCAATCTGGGATCTGATTGGACTTTGTATGACATAAAAAATGCAGCACTTTCACTCAAAAAACTTAGGTATAGGTATCAGTGAAGCCAAAAGAATAATCATAACTCGAGGCAAACAAACTGCTGGGGAAAGTAAAATCTTGTATAAAACAGAGGTTTTATACAGAAATGATGACAATTCTAAAAAGTTTTCAAGTTTTAATTCAACCAAAGAAAAAACTAAGTGACATAGTACTGCCGGAATTGCAACGAAGCATGCTGTTAAGAAGAAAAAACTGGATAGCTTATCAAAATTTTTAGTTAGTCTATCAGGCAAAGAATGGGCATTAGATCCAGAATTAACTTGGTTAGATCCAATTTCAAAGGATCAGTATGGTGAAAATGTAATTGAAAAGGACCAGACCTGCGATCAATGTGAAGATGAAGAAGAATGCTGCTGTCTTCTGGAGGACGACATACATGTCATATGATTTTTTTTACTACAGATATTGCTTTACAAAGACGAATTTTCAGTTCATATTTTGATTTTAATCACTTAGGGAAAATAAAACCACATTTTGTCCTTCAAAGATAATCAAATGGCGTTTTGTCAATCATTAAAAATTTTTTTTTTGAAAAAACTAATAAAGCTTGTTGTTTCTTATAAATAGGCTAAGTTGATAATAAAAAAATTACATTTTTTCATATTTTGTGTTTTAATTTTAACTTTATTAATAATCGAGTAGCAGTTTTCTCATTTCCTGAAAAATTTTAAAAATGGACAAAGCGCGATATGACAGTCTGCTCCTCATATAACCTCGATACATAAAAAGGGAGATAAGAAGAAGTGCGGGAACTACAGAGGCATCAGTGTAGTATGTAGTAGCATGTATGGGCAGGTTATATGAAAAAATACTAAAAGAAAAACGGAAAAATCTATCTCAAATAAAATCGGAGAAGATGAGACGGGGTTCACATTAGGAAGATCTTGCAGAGACCACATATATACACTCCAACAATTAACTGAAAAAAAATGGCAAAAAATAGACCAGTACACATGGCATTCATAGATTTAAAAAAGGCATATGACTCGGTTCTCAGAAAATAATTATGGGGCACGATGAAGGAAATCGGAATAACTCAGAGGTTAATAAAAGCCATAAAACACCTTTACAACAACAACAACAGCCGGCAATAAATACTCCAACGAATTTAAGACCACAAAAGGCTTATTGCAAGGATGCTCTACATCTCGACACTGTTCAAGATACTCCTCGAACAAATATTAAAACCATGGAAAAAGAAATGTGAAGGATGGGAATACCAATCCGGGACAACTTCTTGTACACATTAAGCTTTGCAGATGACCAAGTGGTAACGGCTCAAGATAAAGAAGATCTGTGCTATATGCTCCGAAAATTAGAAAAGAAATACACAAAAAATGGACTGAAAATAAACCTAGAAAAGACCGAATATTTAACAACAGAGCAAGAACCAGTGAGAAACTTGGAAATGGACGATGATAGGGAAATTAACGGCACTGAAAAATTCAAATATTTAGGATTCATACTCTCAAGAAATGGAACCACCGAGCAAGAGATAACCAGCAGATTAGCACAGACAAGAACGTATTAAACAAATGAACGGGGTACTGTGGGATAGACAGATTACCAGAAATACAAAGAAGAGAATTTATAACACCTTGGTACGCAGTATAATGACCTATGGAGCAGAGAATTGGGTAATAAATAAACGAAACAGGTCCAAAATCACAGCAACTGAAATGGAGTTCATGAGAAGAAGCTGCAGAGTGACAAAAATAGATCGCATCAGAAATGAGGAGATAAAACGAAGAATGGCAGTAGAACAAGACATACTCAGCTACATCGAAGAAAAACGTTTAATTTGGTATGGAAATGTGAGAAGAACAGATCATACAAGGTGGATAGCAAAGATTTCGGATTGGAGCCCAATAGGAAGGAGGAAAAGAGGTAGACCCCGAAGATCATGGAGGGATGAAGTGGACGAGGCCATGGAAAGACGAGACCTTAGAGATGGAGAATGGCAGAACAGAAAGGACTGAGATGTTGGCTGAAAGAAGGAAATAACAAAAATAGTAACAGACAAGTGGGCCATCGAAATTTGCAAATCGAAGAATGCTTTTTATTCTCATATTAACTTCATTAGGAAGGATACTTTTGAACCATCGATAATTTGTATCGTTTGATCCACCTAGAGTTAGATTAACCAAAAACTCGAACAGTCGATGTCTTCTAACAAGATTAAGGAACCGGATATCTTGAAAGCCATTAAATTACATCTTGCTTTCTACACGACCTACCTGCTTCAGTAAGTTACGAAGGATTCACCAACACAAGTTTTAAACTCTTTTTCGCTTCCGAAGGACTCTCACTAAGACTGAAGATGTACGAAAAATCCTTCTAGAATTTAACGATGCCTATGGAACTGGTAAAACTGTGGTAGAAGCTAATCTTGCTGCTTTTAGGTCCTATCTCACTTCGGAAAGAATTATTCACCTACAAAAATCAAGGGAAAGTCACTGAAACTACTATTCCGTTGCCTCTCCAAAACGAAATTTTTAAACAATATGACGTGTTTTGTGGGACTAGAAACCTCAAATTATTATAGTAATGACAACTTTTCCATGGTTCTGATTAATATTCA